ATTTATTTGTAAATGAATTTATTTTACAAGGAAAACATTTTGTATTTTTTAAAGCAAAGTTTTATCGTACTAATTAAAATCAAAACGTTTAACAAAATATATTTGTGACTTGCTACTCTCTTAATATTTTGGCTTAAACCTCTCTCTTCAAGTTTTGTATATTAAATCCATTTAAATGTCTTAAAACCCCACCCATATAAAAGCCGATGTTAAAAGCTGGGCATAATTCGCCTTTAAGTGTCCATATCCCCCAGAATCACTTCTTGTGCACCACAATGGAAAAGGCGGAATCAGCAAACAGTTCTGAGCTCAGAAAAGATTTGAATGTCCGTCATAGCCAAATGCCGTGTAATATGAAAAGAGTGAGCCGAGAGCGGAGCCACATAAAAGGAGCACAATGCTGACGCCCGATTCTGATTCAGAAGCCAAAAGCTGAGGCTGATGATGATGCTGATGCCATCCTGACGATGATGAGCGCAGCGCACAAAACGATGATGCACAAATCCTTTAAGAGCGGATTTGGAATTTCTGCGAGATGCTTGGTGTGGGTGGCCAAGGACTTTTTGGGGGAGTGGCAAAGGACACAAAGTCGGGCGAATGGACGAGGCTTACTCGGAATGGGGGAAAAAAGGGGGAGAGGCTTTAAAGTATGGTGAAATAGATGCCAACTGAAATCCGTATAAGCCGCCTGCTGGGAATCAGCGGGGCTTCCTTGCGACTTGGTTTGGAGTCCATGTCACCGATATGATATGAGGTCTCTATCGCCAAGGCGTTTTCGCAAAAGGAAGTGCTGTATTTGTAGTGCTAAAAACTATTTGTTTTAACCCGCTGTGCGGTGCGATGAGCGAAATGTTCGCAATTTCTTGCTATCTGCCATCCGTAATGGTTATTGGAAACGCAGCCGAAAATTGCCATCAAATATTTACTCTGTCTGGCCGGGTTGCTATTTGCAATTTGGTTGTATCTTGTGCACGGAGAAAAATCTTAACTTTTGTAATTCAATTGATTAATACAATCCATAAACTTAAAGAAATTCCTCTAAAAAAAATTACCGAATTAACTTACTTTTGTAATTTTTAAAGGTTAAAATATTTAATAGAATCATTTTACCAACCATTTAGCAGCCTTTAGTATCTTAAACATTTTAGATGAATTATTAAATCATTGATTTATGAAAACTTTTTAAACTTAGACTATGATTTAAGTGGTTTCCAAGTCGTTTATATTTTCTTTTCCGTTCCTAAGTCATTTGAGATTCCAAATATTTACTTTATTATCTTTTCAGACACATTTTCAGACAAATGGAATTATTTAATCTTGCCTATAATAGAGATTGACTACTTTTCAGACCATATATAATATATAAGTAATTTTTTTTGCACTCTGTAACGTCGGTAACCGTGGAAACTTTCCCCCATTTTGCTTTTCCCCATCGCACTGTCAGCCATGAACTTTTATTATGCCTTAAGGTAAATTGTTTTATTTATTTTTTAGGCCTGTCGCCAGCCACGCAGCAACGACACAAGCGTCGCCAGCGGCACAGGGTCCTTCGTCCTTCGTCCTTTGTCCTTCGTCCTTGGTGCTTGGGCCTCCGTTGTCGGTCCTGGTCAACGCATAATTCAGCGTTATTTTGTTGCCACACACTTACACCCACAGCCACCACCCACTGAGCATACAGCATGTAGCATCCGCATCCGCAATCGCATCCACATCCGCATCCGCATCCCTTTTGGGCCGACGGCCAACAAAAAATCGCAACAATTTGTAATGCCAAATATTTTATTCATTCAGCGTTTGCCGAGCCGCCTCCTTGGGCCACAGAAATAAATACATATTTGTATTTATTTTTTTAGCCCTGTCGGTCCGATTGGCTCAACAGGTCAGAACAGCGGGAGCCCAGGACCCTCGCGGCTCTTTCCACACATGAGAAGGACATTTATGGGGCGGCTTTTCCTGCATACAAATGCAGCTCGTTTTCCCCGGGGCCCGTAAAAAAGCGGAAAAGTCGAGGCGCAGAAATTTATCACCCCATTAGTAAAGCACAGTTTACCGGGATATATTTTATTATATTTATTCACAATTTGTCCATGTCAATTGTTGCCAAATGATTACAAAAATGTTTATTTATCTTGTTCCTGTTTCCGACAATTTTTTTGTTAAATTAAAATACAATTAATGCAAGTTGGTTTTTCATAAAATTTTTGTTTTTAAGTGGGGATAATATTCGTAAATAGATTTCATTGAACATATACTGTTGCGAATGTTTAATTGAAATTAACTGCAGAAATCTTTTGCATATTGTTGAGTTCAAAAAATTAAAAGTTAAATTGATTTAAAATAACTCTTATAAAACAAATTTATTACAATTAATTGATTTATAAAAAAATTCCAGTCCTGTTTTAAAAAATAAGACAAAATCCTATTTATAATTCAACCATTTCACTTGAAATTCAAACACAGTTTGTATTTAGATAAAAAATGTGCATTTGAATTAAAACGTTTAATATAGATTTCCCTATTTTATACTTATGTAAAAATCATCAGTTCTCACCTCATAAATCAGGTAGCCAAAATAATCCAGAGGCCGCTTAAACAGCGACTGCCACTATGAATTGAAACTTCATAAACGCATCAACACGATGCAAATGCGAGCATAATGAACTCGATGCTGGTGCGTAGGGTCATTTGTCTATTATGGCGCATTGATTAGCGCTTGGCCCCCATTTCGCAGTTCACACTTGCGGGTCACCAGTGCTCCGCCCCGGCAGCAAATGCAGCAAATGCACGCTATGCCACACATGTCGTGTTTAATTAACCCCGAACAATTTCTGTTTCCGCTGCACGCCGCCAAAGTCCCTCCGCCAAATGCACACACGAACCCATGCCTTTGGCTGCATATTCATTCATACAAATATAGTACAAACGGCACGCGCATAATTCCCCTACAAATGTGTGTGTGTGTAGCCAGTGCACTCTGAACCCTATTGTGGCACACCCTACCCCCTCCCTTTACTCTATTTCTCCCCATCCCGCAAATGTCCCCAATATCGGGGTGCCGTCGGCAGCACAGTGACCCAAATTAATCTTAGTCATTAGCAGGAGCCAACTGCAAGTGTCGAGCGGTATGCGAACTCAAGGTCCTATCATCGCCTGACACCCAAAATGGGAACTGGAGGGATGAGGGACGAAGGAGGGGAGACCTTTCAAAACTGCCGCCCTCGAATTGTTTCTATGTCTCGGCTGCGCGTAGACAAAATGCCAAAAGTTTCTTCGCGGGTGAAAGATTATATTTAGGAATGGGGTAGAAATAGAGCTATATTCAAAATTTATTAGATCAAATGGTTTCCAAAATAGAACACATTTATACAAATATGGCAGGCTTGTTTAGCAATCTTTAGAAATAGTTTTATATTTACCCAAGACCTAAAAAATACTTTGAGAATAATCCAAAATTTACAAAATAAATATAAACCATCAACTTCCAAATTAATTGATTTAAGAGTATAAAACTCTTAAACTAAAATGGGGAAAAAAATAAAAAAACAAAAACCACAGAAAAATCTGTTTTTAATTTCCAAGCCTAAGTAGCTTCTCAGAAGTTTACTTATTTATGAGTAACAAAAGCTATTTGCATAACTAATCTGTAATCCACCTAACCATATTCTAGTTATTCCCTTATCAATTTATTGCTCATTTACTTATGAATAGTGTGTTATTTATAACTCATAAAAGAATGCGAGACAATCCCCAGCTCCATATCAAAAGGATCAAGTATTTAATGTAGCTTTATTGTGCTTTAAATTCTTTGCACATCCCAGTGTTTCGTGTAGCGATTATGAATCGCAAAGATTACCGCACATAATTATTATCATCATCGCGTCGGGGAAAGTGGTGTGGGAAATTGGTGGGGTGGGAAAGTGGGGGGATAGGAATAGCGGGGGTTGGGAAAGCGAAAGGTGCTGGCAGTTAAATGGCTCGCCTGCACACTAATTGTGAGTAACACGTTCGCGTTTACGAAACTTTCTGGGAATTTTCGTCGGAAAAGCAGGCAGAGCAGCCGACCCAAAGAGCCAGGAGTTTTCGGCCAGACAAGTCCTTATCTCGCAACATGGAAATGGGAACTGGTAACTGGGAGCTGGGAACTCGCAGCTAGACATGCAGTCAGCCGGCAAGTGCTTAGACATTAAAGTTTGGCGCGCTGCCTTAATAGACCAGCAATTCATTTGGGGCAAGTTTAAAGGGGCCAGGCTCCGTCATTAACCAGCAGCCTTCGTCCCCCGGAATTTCCCCTTGGACAATCACCCGAGTCCTAATTAAAGTCGGGACACTCCAGCATGGTCTTTAATCTTAGTCCTTTTTATAGCGTTCGAAAATCAATAAATTTAAAATGTACAAGCCACTGCGGAAAAAGGGAATAAAATCGTAGCCAGCACACGTTGGAAAAAAAGAAAGGAAAACAAAATTCCAGCCATTGGGGGAGAGTCAATTTTTTTTTTTTTTCGGGGGATGTTGTTGCTGAGGCGACAAAGCAAGCAAGAAATCGCCGAGCCAAACATCCTTTTGTCAATACAAAATACGTATAGTACAACAAAACAAATAAAAGACCCCAACCGAACGAGTCCCACGACGACGAGCAAAGACAAAGACAAAAGTCACAAAGTGCAAAAACAAAGGCAAAACAACTGAGAAGTGCCACCCGGATTCGGAATCGGAATAACAGACTCGGTGGATTCCGGGGGGCATGCAACTTAACGCATGCGCCAAAAGCTGGCGAATCTCACAGAGCCTGGGGAAATGGCAAATGGCTTTCAGGGGTTGGAGCACACAGGATGTGCTCGTGAAGTTGGCTAAAATGGCGCACACGCACACAGCCACCTTGTTGTTGGCCATTTCTCCTTTCGTTATCGGAGAGAGAATTTCCTAGCGATGCTTGTGCATTTTGCCAAGGAAGAGCAAATGATTTTTAACAAATTTCATTAACATCAGAGGTCCGTAATCATTCAAGCATCGCGTTTCGTAACAGGGACAGGTCAGAAGTCCGATATACTGGCCGCCCAAACAGTTGCCAACTGCAATTACATCGACAGTCCGAGTTTTAAATGTGTCCTTTTATGTCCTGAAATGTGTTCTTCTCACGAGACTCGCCAAATGTTTGAGGACACGTAGGAAAACCACCGTGAAAAGCCTCGCGAAAGTTATGTAAAAGCAAGTGCACGTGAATTTATAGTTTTTCTTTTTTAACCAAACGATTTTGAAATGATCGACGAACAGCACCCAATGCAAATTGGAATGTGTGAGTATCAAGGAACTTATTGAATGGGAATTTTGTCCTGGTGCCTAAAGCCGTCGGGTTTTTCACGCCCAAATGGAGGAGATGCCGTCGGCATTTTTCTTCAAAGAACTTTTGTTTTTTAACTTAAATAGAAAATTAATGCTCAAACTTCAAACACAATTACCTTTATTAATCACCAACAATTTTATTGCAACGTCATTAGAAACCCTCAATATTTGTTAGGAGTTTTGTATAAGAACTTTGTAAATTTCTGCTTGTAGATTTACATGATTTACTTAAAGGGCTGAAGAAACTATAACGAAAATCAAACAGATTAAGACAAATACTTTAAATTAACTTGTTTACATATTTCTATTAAAAAATTTCTTTACCTTTCCATCCAACTTGTTATCACGTTTTTCATTCAAATATTAAATTAAAATATAATAGAGTTTTTCATGAACAGCTGTAAGCTATTAGCGCCAAAGTTTTTTGTTTAATAAAGGAATTCTTAAACATTCCTAATTCCCAAAACACAATACAGCATTTTAAATATTGCATATCAGCACTTCTGTATTTATCTACCTCCTGAGATTTAAATGCAACACCGATAGTGCCAAGTATTTATAATTGCACTCACTCCAGAGGAACTGGCTCAAAGCCAGTGAAAATTACAACATATTTTCCAGTGCTAAGTAAATTTGACTTCTGTCGGAGATTAGGCCAAAACAAAGCATTTATGCTGCGATTGCTGGCACAACAAAACGGCGCCATAGCTTCATTGTCTGCCCAAATCCAAATCCGATTAAATAAAACGCTGTCAGTTGCTGCCGAGCGAGCTGTTGGCTGTTGGCAACTGACAGCGGAATCGGAATCGGAGGCAGCACACAGCTTCCTGGCAGCATCCCGGCATCCTGTGATCCCCGCCCGGCATCCTGGCAAGGGTTCTCAAGGGTTTCCGCTCACCAAACTGCCGACTTTCGACTGTCGACTGCCAACATATGCCGCCGAAAACCGAAATCATGAGCCGTTTGCCTCATCTCCGGTTATTTTGCTAAGCCCGAGCATATTTTCCACGCACAGGGGTGGAAATCCTCCTGCTAAATGCCCCTGATTCAATGAAATTCGTTTATAATCTAGTTATAAGCAGTGCTCGGGGTGGCATTTCCTCGCTGCCAACTCAATCCGCCCCTTGATTCTTGCTGCACATTAGAATCTAATTAGAGCGGGGGAAAACGTGGAAGAAGTGGACTATCAATGTCGCCTTTCCACTTGTCGTCGCAAATCCTCGAGGTCTACGCTCTGACATGTCCGGCAAACATGTTGGAATATTTTCCAAAACGTCAAACGCCAAATGACAAAGCACAAAAAGTCTAACAGGTGTGGCCACTGAGCTGATTATTCCGCTGCACTTCTTAGTAAATAACTCCCCGTTGTTCCAAGTGTCACAAGTTGAAGTTAGTGAGGGCAAGTAGATTACTCACTGTTTGGCCTTTGAAACTGGGTGACAGACTGCTGGAGACTGTAGTTACCATTGACAGCATGTTGAAAAGTTTGTTTACGACACCCCGAAGTCACCCCAAAAACAAATTCATTTTGTCAGCCTTTTGTAATTTACTTTAGATGGTATCAGAGAAATCAGAGTAACGGCAATCTTTGAGATAACATTAATAAATAAAAATAAATACATTTTGGTTAGTTCTTCTTTATTCTATAAATAATCTACATAAAGGATTTCTTGTGGTTCGTTATTCTCTGGAAAAAACTGTGGCCGGAATGTCATATAATAGGAAAAAATCATTATAAGTTAATAAATGTACTTAACGCAATAAAAGTCTAAATTTATAGAGTTCATAATCAATATTCTAAAACAAAAACAATTAGTATCTACAGAAACATATTTTTCATAACGTTTTTTTAATAAGTTTGAAATCTGCGTACAAATATTTCTTTTAATTTTCAATTAAAAGAAAATAAAGTCACCTACTTAATTTACAAAGAAATTACTTCCATCGTTTCGTTTTTAAAATGTTAATCCCAGTTTTGAACAGCAATTAAGTTCAATCCAATTAAATGCAGTCAAAACTGCAACGGAACGCTTTTGCAATTGTTAAACTTTCGGAAAGCCAAAATAAATACAAACAGAAGTAAAACAATCCATTTTAATCGGTGAGAGAGGTGTATCAGAATTGTTAATGTGAACGATGTCAGGAAAATACTTTAACATTCTGTGCATATTTCTGGCATAAATTGGCATGCCAGATATAATTTTTGCAAACATTTAATGAAATAACGCACACATTTAAATCACTCAAATGCGGAATGACAAACTCACGCACACACACACACACAAACTGTAGGGAAATGCAAGGAAAACAAGTGAAAAACCAAACAAAGTGAACGGATCACACACACATACAATCATGCAGGAAAAAGCTGGGAAACAAATTACGGTGAAATTTCAACAATTTGCCATAAATTGAGACAACAAGGCACAAAAAGCCAACCAGTCAGCACCGCAAATGTACAGTAATTTTTTGCCACCAACAACAACCGAACAATCGCACACACACGCATCGGTTACGCATACGCAGCGTTGGCCGTCTTTTTTTTCCACATGCCATTTTGCATGGCATTTCGGGGAATTTCGAGTGCAGTCGCACACGCACGCACACGCACACTCACACACACACACACACACACTCACTCGCTTTCCCACTCTTTTGTTTGGTGGAAAAGTCATTTCAATAATTGCAAAACCACAAATTTACTACAACTCGAAACGGTTATGGTCACAGTGCCCAGCAGATGGACACAGCTCCCGCCGCAAATACAAATCCCTTTTTTCACCCAGACCACCACCAGTCCCTTCATAGTTGTAAATATCAGGCAAAAAAGGGGGAGTGGAAAGGGGGAGGGGCTGCCACGCCCACTGAAGCCGCAGTGTGCATGCCAAAGTGAAAATAAAAATATCTGAAATGTTTCTCATTTGCATGTGCCTCCGGGGGAAAATGGACCTCGGCCCACGACACGACCGCAAAACCAAAATAGTTCCGATGGACATAAAATGTCAACAGCAGCAGCAACAGCAGCAGCAACAGCAGCAACAACAGCAGCAGCAACAACTGGGGGCAAGCCAGCCGCAAACTGGGGGGCCTCAATCAACTGCTGTTGAACGGAAATGAACGCATGTTAACAACACCAGCAACAGCAACAGCAATTGCGACAGCGGCAAGCGGACGAGGTGCGGTGGCAACATCGAGTGGCAAAGCCGGTGGAGTAGCCCACAATGACAAAATGGCGTCAGTCAGCAGAAATGTCAACGGAAGTTGCAACAACCACAACAGCAACAACAACAGCAACAGCAACAGTAGCAGCAACATGAACAACAGCAACATGGCCATAAACAAGCAACAGCAACCGATGGGCATGGGCCAAATGGCGGGGCAAGGACCTCTTTCAGGGACAGGACCTGGTCCTGGACCACCCACCACTCATCCTTTATGCAGCCGCATCACCTTGGGCGAGTGCAGCCTCAATGGAATGGACGGCTTTGCCACACCGGCAGCACCTCCATCGGCATCCGGCACACCGCAAGTGCCTCAGGGAATGGGCAACGGAATGGGTTTGGAGTTGGGTTTGGGAATGGGCAACCCACTCAGCCAGTGCGCCCACTGCTGCCAGCCCATCTGCGATCGGTACATAATGCGCGTGGTGGAGCACTCGTTCCACGAGGGATGCCTCAAGTGCACCGCCTGCTCGCTGCACTTGGTGCACTCGTGCTACGCGAGGGAGGGCAAGCTCTACTGCCGCATCGACTACGAGAGGTGAGTACTCCTCAGGGGTTTCCTGATTCCTGAAAGCATGACTCCCGCGTGACCCTTGACATGGGGAAGGGCGCTCAAAAACAATGCACCTCCTCAAAATCACATTAACTTTCAGTCAAGGGTAGACTGCTCGGTCAAAAAAGGGAAAATAAGACTGTAAAAAACGCACTGCTTAGTATCTTATAATATTCATTTTAATTTCTGTGATTTTTTTACAGTTAAAGAAACTCATTTAGTTCTTAAATAAAAAGCCTGAGTGAAAACAGTTCTTCTCTACTTTTTATTATAAAACGTTAAAGCGTTTTCTTTAATAATTAATTAATGTTATTTAAGGAAATGTTTATATACAGTTTGACACTATTTTAAAGCCATTACCTAATTAAATAAATAAATAAATAAATAAATAAATATTCAACTACAATTGAGAAACATAATTTGTTCGGTGCCAAATTTATAATAATTTATAAGTTCTTAAGTCCACACTTAATTGATGCACATGGTTATAAAAGTAACATATGTTAGTTTTCTAAACGTGATCCCTTTTCCTATCACAGACTCTACATCCGCAACCATTGCCTTGGCTGTGGCCTCAAAATCGCCGCCGATGAGCTGGTGATGCGATGCCACGAGAACGTCTTCCACCTGAAGTGCTTCGCCTGTGTGGTTTGTGGAGCTCTTCTGAAGAAGGGGGAGCAGTACGTGGTCAAGCAGGGACAGCTCTTCTGCCGCTTCGACTACGAGAAGGAGGTGGAGATGCTACAGGGATACGGTAAGTCTGAGCTATTTTTGGTTTGAGTTGGGACTAAAAACAATGTTTTACAACAGATTTCTATGGCGATGAGCTTTTTCCGCCCAAATTGGACGGAAGACGTGGCCCAAAGCGACCGAGGACCATTCTTAATACCCAACAAAGACGAGCCTTCAAGGCATCCTTCGAAGTTTCCCCGAAGCCATGTCGCAAAGTTAGGGAAAATCTGGCTAAGGATACTGGCTTGAGTCTGAGGATCGTGCAGGTATATTTTGAATAAATAAATAATAGAATAAAAATAAATACATAATAAGACAAGTACAAAACAATAAAAAACATCGTGACTTATTAACGATTACTTTCCATTGTAAATACTACGAAAAAACTAAGTTAATACAATATCTTTTATCTTATATTACAAAATAAATAGTTTCGATTATCAGTGCGTCCGAATTTTAATAAGTAGCTCCAAATTATTTTTCGGTAAAATTATCATCAAAAAACAATACAAAATTGAATAGAAATAGAAATAGAAATAGAAATAGATAAGATTAATAATAACTTTATACAAACTCGTGAGAAAACTTATTGTGCCACCAGTAATTATAATATTATTATACAACATTTATCTCACCTTTAGGTTTGGTTCCAAAACCAGCGAGCGAAGGTCAAAAAGATCCAGAAGAAGGCCAAACAGGAGCCGCCCAGCAAGGGAGCGAGTGACTCGCAGGACTCGCAGGAGTCCCTGGACAGCAGTTTGGCCACCAAGATCAAGGACGAGGCGCACAGCGACAGCGAATCGCAGATGGAATCGCCGTACTCGACGACCTCCGAAGGACTGACACGGATGCGATGCACCATCAAGGACGAACAGGAGCAAGTGCCCTTCAACTGCATGGAGACCAATAAGGGTAAGTAATCCACTAAGGATTCAAATCCATTGAAATTAAATAAGTACCTTACAGAGAACTGCAACAAGAACAGCGAACCCATATTGAACACCATTCTGGGACTGAGTTATGCCACATTTCAGCAGCTAATGGGACCCTTCGCCCAGACGCCCATGATCAATCCGATCGACCGACTATATAGCATGCAGAGCTCCTACTTTCGACCCGAAGAGCTGCAGTCCTACGGCGAATGTGGCGTCAAGGACTCCATGGATCACTAGTCTGGCCTTGCGAGGCCATCGAATTTTAAGCCCAAATCAAAATTAGACCTTGTAAAATAAAAGAATGTTAATGTGCTAGCAATCGAACTTAAACACCCCGACAAGGTAGATTTTCTCCCCCACCTCTTTCCATTCGGAAGCTGCACCACTTGCGTAATCACCCCACCACTTGCTGCACCACCATCGATGGTGGCATCGGTGGCATTGGTGGCCCTGCAGGTGCAGCCTCGAAATTAGTTCCGCTCGGTTGACAGGCACAAAAGTATTTGCCACAGCAGTCGCAACCCCTCGTTGGATTCCTCGTTCATCCAGGGAATGGGCGTAAAATGCCGATTCGTCATGCATAGTTCAAAGGGACGTATCCGTATCCCCGTATCCCCGCATCCGTATTCGCATTCGTGTTCACTTTCGGATTCGGATTCGAGTCCGGATCCAGAGCCGTATCCTCCCCACGATGACGGGCCGTTTGACAGCCTCGACGTGAATGTGTTGCGAATGCCGCCCAAGGACCGGACTTTTGACTGGCAGCCTGTTTTTCCTCCGCCTCTTTTGTTTTGGCCGCGAAGAAGGAACTGCATCGGAATGTACTAAAAGCTAAGGGAAGGTAAAGGTCGTGTCTTTAAAATTATCAGACAAATATTACAGTTGGTTTGGTTTGCTTGAAAATATTTTAAACAAGTTTGTTGTTTAGCCCTTATGTTTGTATTATGTTCGACATATGTATTTAATTGCCGAAGCTAGCTTCCTTTCTTGTTCTAGCGTAAAATTGATGACAAACGCTTTCAGGATTTTTGACATCGTTAAGCACGATCTGTTTTTAGGTTACGGTCTAGTAAGTGCATTTAAGAGTTTCCATTTAAGTTCAATTTGGTCTGCACCTGCGATTACCATAATGACCATAGTTAGCAAGAGGCTTGCTAAGTATCCATGCAAATTCCTTTAACAAGTAGAATGGAGGGTATTCGACCCTTCAAAAAATGTATATATTATATCTTTTTAAACTGTTTTCCACAACGAAGTAATGCACTTTTTAAAACAATTGTTAATTATTTATAAAAAAAAACACTTTGAATATCTACAATGTCGAGTTATTTTTAATTAACAAAAAAGTTAAGTAATTTCAACCTTTCTCGGCTTTTAGGCATGCTACGGCATATCTAGCCTATGTAACCCAATACTTTCATGGTATATAAAAGAGAGTAGGTATTAAATACTGGCACAAAAAAATTAGCAATGTATACTAAGGTGTTTCTACTAGCTGTCCTTTTTTGCCTGCTGGGAGCAGTCCTCTCCAGTCCTCTCAGAGGAAGTAAGTTTTTAAAATTTAATTAAAGATTGTCTCTCTATTGTTAATATTGCAGTTGTGTGCCACAGATCCACGCCTCCGAAATGCATTGAAAGTAGGTAAAGAACTTAATAAGTAAAATGAAGTTTATGCTTTTGCAATGTAAAGAATAAAGAAAATGTATGTGAATCTATTTTATTGCTTGTATCTTAATTTTTAAATACATAATTTTCAAAATGCAGCAAATCATATCAAAAATATATATATTTCCAAATCAAATTTTGTAATATGATCCGCAAGACTTAGGTATTTTTTCCTGAATTCATCGGTACAATATTATATAGGGTAAGATGGGGTAAAACCGCCAAAAATGTATATTTGACGATGTCAAGCTTTCATTTATAAAATGATCAATGATCCAAATCATATTTCTGAAAGTTTAATCCCTTGGCTACATAATTCATTTAGAAAGTTTTTATGTAGCTTTTATTTTAAAAGAATTGTGATCGTTCAGAAGAAAAGTTTAAAACGGCGGTTTTACCCCACCTAGTGGGGTAAAAACGCCATTTTGGTTTTAGTGTAGTTAAGTACCCAAATAATGTCAATAACTTCTGAGAAAAATTTTTATTTAATTCAAATGGATATTACATGTTACAACGAATATATTATATAAAAGTAAAAATAAGAAATTGAAGCGAAGTCATAAGCAAGTCGTCGAACTGCTGTCCGAGAGAAACCATGAAATATAGCTGATGCTTTTATTAGATATTTCTCAAGCGATGCCTCTTGGTCGTCAGTAAAAATCTGTAAAATAAGAATTACGTGGTTAAAATAGTTTTAAACTAAGAAGAAATGTCGCATTAACAAAGGTTTGAAACTGAAAATTAAAATATTCTTATTTAAAAGATAAAATCATTTTATACAAAACTGTTTGCAATTATCTGTTCAAAAAGAAAGGCTGTTATTTTTAAATTGAATTGAATTCAAAATCATGACATTACATATTGTTTCAATTCAAATCAAAAATTGTGAATATTTGACACTTTACCTGGGGATGATGGCCATAATAAGCGTTGTGCGCTTTGTTGACTCGGTCTCGCAAAGTCTCTCGGGGAATCCCATATTTTTCGGCAGCAACTGCCACCTTGCTGCCCTCCTGAACTTCCTCGATTGCCCGTTGAAATATATTTTCATCAATTTTTGATTTTTTTCTTGCGTAATTGCGAGGCATGATGCTGAAAGACATTCATTCTCGATTAAAACGAGTTTTTCCGTTATCAAATTGTGTGGCGTTTTTACCCCACCTTTTCGCGGCGTTTTTACCCCACGCGCCAATTTTTTTTCGAGGTCACTTAGTTTGTACAACTTTGGAAATATTGACTAACTTGATACATGTACATCAGTATCAAGGTTCGTACTATAAGCGGACACTTACCTCTTTTTTTTAAGCCGTTCACTTACACTTGATTGAGCTATCTTTATAACAAAAATTTTTTGACGCCGTCGAGTGAAACAAAAATGGCGCTATAGAAATTGTCACGATAAAGCTGCAGTATTTCGACCGACTTCAAAAACCGCGCATTATCAATCAGAATCTACATTATCAACGGTTAATCGTTTCGGCGCTTCATTTGAATTTGAAATCCAAATGGCGGTTTTACCCACCGGCGGTTTTACCCCATCTTACCCTACAATTATTTAATTTAAATTAAATTTTCTACTGGTGGTCCAGTAGAATTAATTAAAAAGGTGGGCAAAACTTTAGCTATTTTATTGTTTTTTAAGTTCGTTCCTTAGATTATACTGAACATTTTAATTTTTAAAAATATTTCGACATGTTTGCACACAAATTGACATTCTATCTGCTGTAGAGATTTTATCCATTCATGATAAATCCGAATCAGTTCCAAAAAACTTGAATGGAAAACACTTGGGCAATCGGTGGCTAATTGATTTACGAGGAACTGCAACACGTGTTTACACAATTCCGGCCCAATCCAACCCTGCCAGGAAGGAAGTATAACCTCCACTCCTCGAAGCTCCGTACAAGTTCGTGCAATTTGTCACAATATGTGTCACATTAGCCACAGCAATTGTGCTTAAACGTCACCGTCTCGCCGGGAATCCGGGTATCCGGTTATCCAGCCTCCTTACCCGGGCTGTCGTCATCAGGACCGCTAACCAGATTAAACCCCAATCGCGACACCGATACGATACGATACCAAGGATATCCTTACGGATACTCTCGAAGGGGATGTTTGTGGTAGGGGTCGCAGCAGCAAAAGTGGGCAAAAACAGAGACGCGCGACTCAACCACCATTGAGTTCTGACACTGCCAGTGGCAGTGCAACCACCGCCGAGGAATCCGCACCCACCCCTCATGTCCTTTCTAGGCATGTAAGTCGTTTGCAGATACACGCATTAACAGCGGCCGTAAAAAAGAGATCCAGTTCCAGATCCCGTGTCCGCATCATTAATCAAAAGCGGACAAGGCCAAACAAGTGCAAGGGGCCAGTCGAAATAAAAAAAAAAGAAAACTGGCCTGACGAATGACGAGGTAAAGTCCTGCTTCCTGCAATGTCCTTTCGCAGTCCAGAGCACCACTTGCACCACATTCGAGCCACGCAACCACGTGCTCCTTCACTGAAATGTTTCTTTTCGCTCGTAAATGTGTAAATTACGTAATTAATTACCGCGACGACTGTGGATGGTTTAGCTATTCAAATGGTCTTCCACGAAATTCAAGGGCATTTTTTTGTCACCGTACACATATAGATTGTTTAATAAAATGAGTTTTATATGTGTAGAGCCTGCAAAAAAATGTAATGGTTAAATTCTTTATAAAAACTTTAAAGAAACAGTCGACATACAACAAAAAAATGGAAGAAATTGAACTGGTTTCACTTCAATTTTTTCGAATTGTTATTCTAGCATTATTATTGCGTAATATTTATCCGTATTCGAATTCATGTTCACGTTCGGATTCGGATTCGAGTCCGGATCCAGAGCCGAATCCTCCCCACGATGACGGGCCGTTGGACAGCCTCGACGTGAATGTGTTGCGAATGCCGCCCAAGGACCGGACTTTTGACCGGCAGCCTGTTCCTCCTCCGCCTCTTTTGTTTTGGCCGCGCAGGAGGAACTGCATCGGAATGCACTAAAAGCTAAGGAAGGTAAAGGTCGAGTCTATAAAATTATCAGACAAATATTACAGTTGGTTTGGTTTGCTTGAAAATATATTTTAAACAAGTTTTATTAAAGATAAATTTTTGTGCATATAATTTTTTGCATATATATATATTTTTGAGAATATGGAGTTTTCTAACGACTCTTGAACTACGATTTAAATTTCATCAAAATCGGACGACTATATCATATACCTGCCATATGAACAATAGTCACAAATATGAAAAATTTATAGAATAATTGTCATAGCTTGTTGTTTAGCCCTTATGTATGACTTTTGTTCGGCATATGTATTTAATGGCCGAAGCTGGCTTCCTTTCTTGTTCTAGCGTAAAATTGATGACAAACGCTTTCAGGATTTTTGACATCGTTAAGCACGATCTGTTTTTAGGTTACGGTCTAGTAAGTGCATTTAAGAGTTTCCATTTAAGTTCAATTTGGTCTGCACCTGCGATTACCATAATGACCATAGTTAGCAAGAGGCTTGCTAAGTATCCATGCAAATTCCTTTAACAAGTAGAATGGAGGGTATTCGACCCTTCAAAAAATGTATATATTATATCTTTTTAAACTGTTTTCCACAACGAAGTAATGCACTTTTTAAAACAATTGTTAATTATTTATAAAAAAAAAACACTTTGAATATCTACAATGTCGAGTTATTTTTAATTAACAAAAAAGTTAAGTAATTTCAACCTTTCTCGGCTTTTAGGCATGCTACGGCATATCTAGCCTATGTAACCCAATACTTTCATGGTATATAAAAGAGAGTAGGTATTAAATACTGGCACAAAAAAATTAGCAATGTATACTAAGGTGTTTCTACTAGCTGTCCTTTTTTGCCTGCTGGGAGCAGTCCTCTCCAGTCCTCTCAGAGGAAGTAAGTTTTTAAAATTTAATTAAAGATTGTCTCTCTATTGTTAATATTGCAGTTGTGTGCCACAGATCCACGCCTCCGAAATGCATTGAAAGTAGGTAAAGAACTTAATAAGTAAAATGAAGTTTATGCTTTTGCAATGTAAAGAATAAAGAAAATGTATGTGAATCTATTTTATTGCTTGTATCTTAATTTTTAAATACATAATTTTCAAAATGCAGCAAATCATATCAAAAATATATATATTTCCAAATCAAATTTTGTAATATGATCCGCAAGACTTAGGTATTTTTTCCTGAATTCATCGGTACAATATTATATACAATTATTTAATTTAAATTAAATTTTCTACTGGTGGTCCAGTAGAATTAATTAAAAAGGTGGGCAAAACTTTAGCTATTTTATTGTTTTTTAAGTTCGTTCCTTAGATTATACTGAACATTTTAATTTTTAAAAATATTTCGACATGTTTGCACACAAATTGACATTCTATCTGCTGTAGAGATTTTATCCATTCATGATAAATCCGAATCAGTTCCAAAAAACTTGAATGGAAAACACTTGGGCAATCGGTGGCTAATTGATTTACGAGGAACTGCAACACGTGTTTACACAATTCCGGCCCAATCCAACCCTGCCAGGAAGGAAGTATAACCTCCACTCCTCGAAGCTCCGTACAAGTTCGTGCAATTTGTCACAATATGTGTCACATTAGCCACAGCAATTGTGCTTAAACGTCACCGTCTCGCCGGGAATCCGGGTATCCGGTTATCCAGCCTCCTTACCCGGGCTGTCGTCATCAGGACCGCTAACCAGATTAAACCCCAATCGCGACACCGATACGATACGATACCAAGGATATCCTTACGGATACTCTCGAAGGGGATGTTTGTGGTAGGGGTCGCAGCAGCAAAAGTGGGCAAAAACAGAGACGCGCGACTCAACCACCATTGAGTTCTGACACTGCCAGTGGCAGTGCAACCACCGCCGAGGAATCCGCACCCACCCCTCATGTCCTTTCTAGGCATGTAAGTCGTTTGCAGATACACGCATTAACAGCGGCCGTAAAAAAGAGATCCAGTTCCAGATCCCGTGTCCGCATCATTAATCAAAAGCGGACAAGGCCAAACAAGTGCAAGGGGCCAGTCGAAATAAAAAAAAAAAGAAAACTGGCCTGACGAATGACGAGGTAAAGTCCTGCTTCCTGCAATGTCCTTTCGCAGTCCAGAGCACCACTTGCACCACATTCGAGCCACGCAACCACGTGCTCCTTCACTGAAATGTTTCTTTTCGCTCGTAAATGTGTAAATTACGTAATTAATTACCGCGACGACTGTGGATGGTTTAGCTATTCAAATGGTCTTCCACGAAATTCAAGGGCATTTTTTTGTCACCGTACACATATAGATTGTTTAATAAAATGAGTTTTATATGTGTAGAGCCTGCAAAAAAATGTAATGGTTAAATTCTTTATAAAAACTTTAAAGAAACAGTCGACATACAACAAAAAAATGGAAGAAATTGAACTGGTTTCACTTCAATTTTTTCGAATTGTTATTCTAGCATTATTATTGCGTAATATTTATCCGTATTCGAATTCATGTTCACGTTCGGATTCGGATTCGAGTCCGGATCCAGAGCCGAATCCTCCCCACGATGACGGGCCGTTGGACAGCCTCGACGTGAATGTGTTGCGAATGCCGCCCAAGGACCGGACTTTTGACCGGCAGCCTGTTCCTCCTCCGCCTCTTTTGTTTTGGCCGCGCAGGAGGAACTGCATCGGAATGCACTAAAAGCTAAGGAAGGTAAAGGTCGAGTCTATAAAATTATCAGACAAATATTACAGTTGGTTTGGTTTGCTTGAAAATATATTTTAAACAAGTTTTATTAAAGATAAATTTTTGTGCATATAATTTTTTGCATATATATATATTTTTGAGAATATGGAGTTTTCTAACGACTCTTGAACTACGATTTAAATTTCATCAAAATCGGACGACTATATCATATACCTGCCATATGAACAATAGTCACAAATATGAAAAATTTATAGAATAATTGTCATAGCTTGTTGTTTAGCCCTTATGTATGACTTTTGTTCGGCATATGTATTTAATGGCCGAAGCTGGCTTCCTTTCTTGTTCTAGCGTAAAATTGATGACAAACGCTTTCAGGAATTTTTGACATCGTTAAGCACGAACTGTTTTTAGGTTACGGTCTAGTAAGTGCATTTTTTTCAATTTAAGTTAAATTAGGTCTACTTTTGCGATTAGCATAATAAGCAGCTTGAAAGAGTTGCAAGAGGCACGCTAAGTATCCATGCAAATTCCTTTACCAAGTAGAAGGAAATCTATTCGACCCTTGAAATAATGTGTATAATATTATAATATATAAAAACTCTTTCAAATTTTCCACAACTAAGCAAAGCAAAAATTGTTAAAAAATACGTTTTGAATGTTTACAAAGTCTAGTTTTTTTTTTTTTTTTTGTGTAGGCAAATGAATTTTAAAAAATTATTACCCTAAAAAAATGTTAGGTAATTGCAACATTTCTCGGCTTTTAGGCATGCTACGGCATATCTAGCTTATGTAACCCAATACTTTCATGGTATATAAAAGGGAATAAGTATTAAATACTGGCACAAAACAATTAGCAATGTATACTAAGGTGTTTCTACTAGCTGTCCTTTTTAGCCTGCTGGGAGCAGTCCTCTCCAGTTTTCCAGGTAAGTTTTTAAAATTTAATTAAAGATTGTCTCTCTATTGTTGATATTGACAGGTGTGTGCAACAAACTCCCGAATTCGAAATGCTACTGAATGGAAATAAATTAATAAGTAAAATGAAGTTTATGCTTTTGCAAAATAAAGAATAAAGAAAATGTATGTAAATCTATTTTATTGCTTGTATCTTAATTTTTAAATACGCATTTTTCAAAATGCTACAAATCATATCAAAAATATATATTTTTCTAAAGCAAATTTTGTAATATGATCCGCAAGACTTAGGTTTTTTTTTCCTGAAATTATCGGTACAATATTATATATAATTGAACTGGTTTCACTTCAATTTTTTTGAATTGTTATTCTAACATTATTATTGCGTAATATTATAATATTTCTGTATTGTTTATAATAACTCTTTATTCTTTACCTATATTATTGAGAATTATTTTCTCCAAAATTTGTTTTATGTTTGACGTCTTCATATTGCACATCAAACACAAATTTATGGCCCCTAAAATGTCTTTGAAATCGCACAATGATTATTATGGGTAAAACACTGAGGAAAGGCTTTTAAAATTGAATCAGTTCAAAAAAACATTGACAAAAGTTGATTTTTATATGGTACTTATGAATTTCCAGCTCGTAATACTTGCTTTATGCAAGCAATAAAAATCAAAAATCAATTTCATGTTCCCATAAAAGAACACCAAAATACTCTGTTCACAAAGAGGGGCAAATCACTTAATAAACAATATACATTTCGTGAAAATAAATGTGCATTTGCTTTTATTTTCATAGGACGCATGTGTTGACAAAGGCTAAAAGGACATATTGAAGTGCAAAATGAATTGGTTTTTGGCAACAGAATGTTAAAAATAAATTTCTGCTGACATGGGAACTAAATTTGTGAAATGTTTTTGCACGATTGTCAGATTAGAAAGTTTGGAATTACGGTTTTGGGTATTTGATAAAAAGGAATTATTTATATTTTTGTTGATGCAAGTTTTTTTGTAAAATGCAACCAAAATGGATAGTGAATTTCACTAACAAATAAAGTAAGCAAGAAACCTTTTTGTAATAAAATGTTTATTTACAGCAAATAAGTAGTTGGAAATATTTTTTAATCCAAAAAGGTTTCTCTTAACATCAAAAGTAACTAAAATCGTATTATTCCACCAGCAGTCAGTAAAACTATTTGCTGTGAAGCCAAGGGAAACGCAGATTCTTTGTTGCAAACTTTCCACTTATAATTATGTAAATCGGTGCCCACGAACATGAACTTCTTACCGCAGAGGGCTGCACAAATTGTCGAGCGGCAGATGTCACTCGTTGGCCTTTTCCTGACCAAACGGTTCGAAGGAGTCACTTGTGGCAGTTGGTTGTTTGGCAGCGCAGCATTGGGTTAAGGGGTTTTTGTGGGCCGGAATGGACTTTCTCTATAGGATGGGGGTGCGCAATCTAAATGCAAATGGACGGCCAATGACTAAATGTGAGCCGCTGGCCCAAAAAGCCACAAAGCCATAACCAGGAATCTCTCGCATAATACAGAGAGAAACCAAAGAGACGAGGCGAAATGGGAATGGGAATGGGAATGGGAATGGGAATGGGTTGAAATTGGGGGCCGAGTCTCACTCATTGTAGTTTCCGTTGGCATTGCCATGTGCATGTGTACGTGCCACGTAAGTGTTTGAGTTCGACATTTGGCACAAAATTCATAAATGCTAATTTCAACACATTGCGCACACGCTACAAATATGAATATTTACCATAACTACGCAAACAGACGCAGACACACACACACAGTCACAAGCTCCAAGGCAAATCGACTTCGATTGCCAGGGATCCTTGGAAAGGCAGCAGCCAGGACATTCGCTCCATAACCCAATCCAATCCCTCCACAGCCCACTCCCTTCATCGCCAAACAGCCTGGCACTTGCCTTTATCGACCAACACTTTGCTTCGGTTTCAACTTCACTCGGGTTCGGGTTTAATAAAATCCTTTTGCAAAATGAAGCAATTGTGCATTTCAGCCTGCTGCTGCTGCCTCGCACACATACAAAAGCCCACTGAAAAAAATATAATTACATATGGAATTGTTCAACCATCTATGGAATATCAACTCTTTAAAAAAGCTGATTTTTAACATATCTAAGTTCCATTTTCTTTTATTAAAATATATTAATATTGACTGAAGCTGTCCATTTTGATTCTTTAAAGATTTTCAATAAATAAATGTTGAAATATTTCTTATCTTGATTTTCATCTCAATCTTTGCTAACTTACTTACTTATATTTATTTATCAAATGTGAAAGTATATACAATCGCAGTTTACTGCTGTACGTTGGGAAACACATATTTATTTTTACAAAATAATACAAACTTAAACCATTTTTTTTGGCCTGTAAAAATGTGAGTATCAATGACTGAAAATAGGAGATGGGCGAGGTAGTTTTGGGCCTGGCAAATATGCGTCAAAATCGCACAGACGCACAGTTTTTGAATGCCAAATGGAGCCAGGATGGGAATGCATTACGTGCATAGGCATACAATAGTCTATATTTGTCTACTTGATGCCACAGATTGAGATTGGTATTGTGCCCTGTGTTCGAGCCAGCTGAATCGTAATTGGCCACTTGGCTGCCGACTCGGAAAGCCACTGAGATGGCGTCACTTGCTGCTTGCCACTTGCCACTTGCCACTTGCCACTCTTTTCGTTCCCAGAAGGTTTCGAATGACCCGGGTCCTCGCTCTGCCATTAAATTGGAAATCTCTTTCAATGGAGCTGCCGATGGCCAACCGACGAGGCCACCACATTATTAGTTCAAACTTGGCCAGCTAGTGCGACTAATGAGTTTCTAATAGGCCTGAAAGTGATTCCCTCACAGTTTTTTGGCCCTTCAACAGGCATCGGAATCTAATGAAAAAGGTCTTTATTTGACCATATGCTGCCGTAATCATTACAAATATGGGAAATTTCTTGCCTCTTTTATGATATTTGCATACAAACTTTGTTTAAATTTACTAATTGGTTTGTCAAGCCAACATTAAAAGTTTTAAATACAAATTTATATCTTAGCTAAATTTGATATTCACTTTTTAGCAACAGTTTAAAGAAGCGATTATTACATATTATGTATCTCAAACATTTTATTTACATATTAATCAAAGAAGTTGCTTAAAAAATCTTTCTTTTTTTAATGAGGTTGGTATCCCCTATTGAAATTAATTGTGTCTGAATTTGCCTCTAGACTTTTGTCCTTGCTGGTCTTGCCCATAAAGTCAGGATGCGAAATTTGAATTGCAAAGCTCGACAGCTGGCGAATCGAACTCGAACTACGGGAATGTGTGGTAGCCCCAATCCAGCGTCCTCCTCCTGCTCATCATCGCCTTTTGCCGGCTGAGTTCGGCAGGATCGGGATGGGATGGGAATCAGAATCCGGATCCAGGATTCAGGACCAGTTGACAGGCCAGACACCAAAGGGGCGTAGTTCAAGACAATGAATGTGTAGCTCCAGCTGGATGAAGATTGACTTTCGAGGCAAGGTGTTGCCGACTCAAAGCCAAAATCCGAGAGACAAATGTAAATGAGAGGGAGTCGCTTAATATGCAAATTTCGAGTACATATTTAAAGGGAAATCCATCGTGTTCTTTATGCTCGCTGCAACATTTTCATAGCCGTAATTTGGGTAAACACAAAATCATGAAAAAGCATGAGAATGCATCGCATATTTTTGCATATGACTGGAATGTTTTTCATTATGCTGCCAATAAAAAGTCAAAAAAAAAAAAAAGAAAAAAACGACGAGAGCGGACATCAAATGGATGCCAAAAGGACGGATGAGTGTTCTAAGTGGGTGAACCCAGCGCACACACACTGAAAGTCGCGGGGCATGTATTAAAAATATCTTGTAGATACTTTAGGAGCGGCAACAGCGAGTTCAGTAGCTCAAAGCGTAGAAGTTGTTGAGCTCGGCGCCACTAGAAATCGGCTGCAGCATACGGAAGAAATAAGATGTTGGGCTGCAGCCGCTGGAAAAAATGTTTTTATTACATTTCGCGAGCGTATTTTACGCTACTCACGAAATACTTGAAAGGCATCACCGAGCACCGAGTAAAAATAAATAAATATCCAAGGCGCACAAGAAAGGGAGCCGCGCGATTCTAAAGCCTTAACCTAGCAAAAAAAAAAAAAAAAACCCCCTCGACCGTGGAAAATAAAAAACGAAGGCATCAGTCACACTCCCGCACAAAGCCACGCGCATCAAAGCGTATTCACAAGTGGTCCTCTCTGCGCCTTACTGATTCTCCAAAGGCTAAAGGATATTTAGCAAGGCAGTCAGTCCCTCGACTTTCTTTCTTTCCGCGGACCTGAAGGAGTTGTCTAGGAAACTTTGCTGCCAGCCACTCAAGTCGCTGCTCGAGTTGTTGGTTCTGCTCCGCGCAAATACAAGAAGCTGCCAAGAAATCATAAAAAATCTGGGGAAAAAAAATAATACTGAAAAATGAATAAAATGGTTGAAGATAAATAAAACGAAACCAGATACTTGCCAATGCCTCGCGCATCGGATAGTAAAAAGGAAGCCTTCAATATATGAACTGCTGCTTAAATAAGTTGTGTAAGGAGGTTTTCAGTTGCACTCGATATTTAAATGGTGTTTGAAATGATTGCGTGGTTACTGGGATAAAGAAATTAACAGAACACTTGAAACATTTAAACATGATAACACATGATTTGGGAGAAAGAAAATTTCAATAACAAAAATTAAGAACAAAAAATTAAATAAATATACATACAAAAAAGTTTATAAATATATCTCTTCCCAAAATAAGTTTCAAAAATTTTACTTACTTATTCCTTGTTACACAAATATTGTTAAATTTCTCTCAAGGTAAAGTTTTAATTTTTTCTTTTAATAAGCAAAGCTTAAGTCACATTTTAGCCAATTATGACCACACTTAAAAACATCTAGAAATATTGGCAGGCCAAATCCCCTTGAGAAACTGAGAACGCAATCAGACATCGGGTTGCGGAATTCGGCGACCAACAAAAGCCCTCGAGCAGACCTGTCGCCATTTAATACGATTTTTCTGCAGAATCTCCGTGCCGTTGGCTTTTCCTTTGTTGAGCGCTTTCCACTCGCGAGTTTGGCTTTGGCGTTGGCTCTGCGTTTTTATTTTTTTCCCTGAATGCAGATTATGTTTTCATTAAATTATGGTAGCTATGGATACTTTTATACAATCCAAAGCTACTTCAAACGCGAGAGTGGTGCGTGCGAAGCAGTTGCGACCCGTCGCCGCAGACTCCGCCCTTCCATGTCGAATCCCCAGCCCTTTTTGAGGAGACAGGACACCCCAAGGAAAAGCCAGGACACTCGTGCAATAGAAGGAACTGGTTAGGGGAAGGGAACCCCAAAAGAAAGAAAGTGAACAATATGGTGGGTGCAGGGATCCAGAATAGTCAACGAAAATCGTAGTTTATTTTTATTACATTTACTCGTATTTCAGGACACATTCGTTTCCATGCATTTGAATCCATTGCGATCGTGACGTGACGCTAAAGAACTGAGGAGTAGTAAAAGAACCATCTTTATAAAACCTTACAGAAGGTAGTTCTGTTTCGGTACGAATTTTGGCAAGTGAAACCCAATAACAAGTTAAAATTTATAAAATTGCATAACTAAGACCGAAGATCAAATGAAAATAATAGTTTATACATATATTATATTTGAAGCTTGAAATTTTTTTATACTACAATGTTAAAGCAAACTTTTAATCCTTTTTTGTTGATTGTAAAAAAATGTATTTTAGATTTTTCTGATTTTTATTTATATAAGAAGTATAAGCAATTTAAAAAAAATTTTCAAGTTTTAAGTTTACAATCATTACAAAAACAGAATGATTTAAAATAAGTTTCAAATAAGTCTTATGTTTATACAAAGATAAAAAATTACTCGATTGCCTTTTATTTTAAAAAAGTATATTTGAGACATCAACTCTCGGAGTTTTTAGATTTTTCCATGCTAAATTGACACGAAGCGTCGCTGTCGAAAAGCGAGTTGTGCGAGAGTTTTTCCATCTCCTTTTCCCGGTGTTGTTGTTAGTGCGGCACGTACATTTATTACTTTTCCCTTTCTCCCCGCTCACACACACATCGAAAATTGTTGGGAGCAAGTGCGATTCGCAGTCTCCTACAGATGCATGCAAAGCGGTTTTCATTTTTTATTGCGAAAATGTAACGTGCCGCATGCGAATTGGTTGCTTTGACTTGCCCCCATCCTCGGTCGCCTTTCTCCTTCCAAGGGAAAAAGTCACTCGGCAGCCTTTTCGGCACCGCCGTCGCTTTTAATGTTAACTTTTTCCGTGCCCCACTTGCGAAGAAAATATGAAAAATATTCGTAATAGAGTTGTTTGAAATGTACAATAAGCATTCAAGTGGCTTCGCGAATGCCGGGTATATTCAAAAGGGGGTTATCCACTGGGGGAGTCCTTAAGAATGGGGCATCGCGTATGGGAACTGCCGTTAATGTGGAGCCGGAACTTCGTCGAGGAACTGAGTCAAGGGAAATGGGATCCATGACACATTTGTTGGATCAAAAATTAAAGCATAAATTGAAAGCAAAAGACAATCTATAAGTCTATTTAAAGGTAAGGTTGTTTATTTTTAAATAACATTTTAAAGTTACAATTTCTTATAGTAATTTTTTATATTTTAGATGATAACAAAAGGGAAAGGAAATACAAACTTTTTAAAGTGATCCTTTATATAATATATAATATAATAGTGACCTTTTGGAATTATTAATTTAAAAAGAATTTAAAAAATGTGCAAAATTTTACCTTACTTTATACTCATAAAAACGAAATCTAAAAGAAACATTACGTATACGCACCCGACACCCACTGTCTCTCTACGCAGGACACCTAAGGGACTCCCATCCATCAGGCTGGCTCCCTTCATCGCTCCTTGGTGCATCCGTGGCATCTCGCAGTGCCATATGAAAAAGTTCAGTCTGTGACGGTGCAAACGAGTGTCTGATATACGAGTAGGGAAAATTTTTAATAATTTCTGCATCTCTCTGGCGCTGCGAATGAAAATGGTTGCTTTGATGGCGGCAGCAGCGTAACTAACAATAAAACTTTTTAGTGTGAAGCGGCGAGGACAAAAATATGGACACATATGAAGTCATAAAGTCATATTAACACGTACGAATGCGCACAGGATATTAATGTGCACACACATTCAACCATGAAGACAGTCGGCAGGGGCATAGTTTTTATATTCGCCAAGTTTCCCGACTCCAATGCTAATATAATTTCATATATTGTGGTTAAATTTTTCGCACCGGCCCTGCAGTCGGAAAAGGAAATGAGCTTCAGTTTTTATTTTTTGTTCCCACTTTTCATATACAATTTTATTTCGCAAACCGTTGCAAACTAATTTCAACCAATGCCCGAGGCAAAACCAAAAAGAATGCAATGCACCAAAAACTTTATGAATTACAGCAGCAGCAGCAGCAGCAGAAAAAACAATAACAGAGGCACCCAGGCAATGCCATCCGCTTACCGCAGCGCAAAAAACTGCATCCGAAATTGTTTCTCATTTTTTTAAACAAATTCCCTGGGTCCCATAAGAGTTTCGTGCTTCTCATGGGGCACTCAATGCGAAAATGGCCAATACAAACGGACTCGAGCTCGCCTGGCAGGGGTTTTTAATCACTGACTTCTTCAAAATCGCTTTCGAAAAAGGGATTTTGGACAAGTGGTCGAAACACTTCAATGGCTGAGTATCCATAATCGAGGTGGGATCATACAAAAGGGTAGGAAATTTTCAGACTGCGATTACATAAGCATCAATTATAAATTAATATTATAATTATTATTTAATTTAAAAAGGGCACTAAAAACTTTTAAATTTTTATCTAATCATTCTATATTTTATATTTAATTAAGTCATTTTTTTATAATTCTATTTTTTATTATACAAAACATAATGTTTACAGATGGAATTTATTATAGAAACATACTAATAAAATGTTCTCACTCGAATTTATTTAGACGTAAAATGAGTGTAGGCTTAAAAATTTTCTTGCGCTTTAAATTCAGAAGTAAAGGAGAACCTTCAACCGTTTTGTACGTCATAAAAAAATCAAAATCAACAACCAAATTAATCTCTTACCTTAAAAAAAGTACGAAACTCCACGATCTGCCCTCGCAAGCCGGACTCTCACACGCACATTTCCGTAACCACAAATGGCAACCAGCTTTTCTGGGTGGCGTTGCACTTGCACGAAAAGGTGGACTGAAACGGGTGGTAGAGGTTGATGGTGGGATGGTGGTATGGTGGGATGGTGGGATGCCGGGAGGTAGGACACCGCGAGGCCACTTGTATGGCGCACAAGTGGCGATGCCAGTGGCAGTGCGACTGCAGCATGGCCATCAAGCGCCATCCAATCGCCATCCGATAAATTGCTGCCACCGGGGACTGTGTCCGATGGCAACCAACTCAAGTTGAAATTGGTCAAAAGTTTAACATATTTGCGTGTGTGTGTCCGAGGGGCGGATTGGTTGCCGCGGATGGGGATCGGAGTTGGTCGTTCCTCTCGTTTTTGGCGCATTTTCGGGGAATAAACGACCCCACAGCATACGGGCTTTTCTGTCTGTCGACACAATTGCTCCGCAATATTGGTATTTAAGTAAGGAACCGTGAAACTCAGCCGTTCAATCGTTTAATGAAAGTAAACAAAACTTAACACTTACTTAAAACAAATTAAAAACTTCATTTGGTTTGCAAACACTTACTTAAAACAAATTAAAAACTTCATTAGATTCGCAAATTATAAAAAAATTCAACTTCACTGTACATAATTCAACAATAACTCTTATAAAAACTAAATAAGAATTAAATAATAAAGCTAACAATAAATAGTAAAGTATTTCAACAGTTAGTAAAGCTCTCTCGCCAGATTCATAAAGTATATTTACTGCTAATTTAGATTACACATTCGAAGTAATTATTATTTGGATTTCATTTCAATATTTGACTAAACTTTAACTAACAAATTTAGTTTAACTACGGACTAAGCTTGTGCTTCAGAGTAGAGGTACATATTTGTTGCTCGAGTATGTATTCAGTAATCTCATAAGGAACGTATTACGACTAAGGCCACAAGGCAAAAGGCAGCGCCTAAGAACTACCGCAGCATCGCAGGGTAAGTCATAGTTAAATCGTTAATTCGGCTCTCCGACAGCGCACTAGATAACAATCTAATCGGGTTAATACAAAGGCGTCACACAACCGTAGGAAAGCTTTGACTAGCACTTTGAGATTCGAGTAAATGACTAAACAGATTCCACAGTGGGTGGGTGGCTAAAAGGAAGCCAGCTTAAAAGACTACTATTCCTAGCTTTGGTTAGCATCTCAGTGGTTTACTGAAGCACACATACGGCCGAGGCGCCGGTATATTGGTTATTCAAGCGCCGACGCATTCCCTCCAAATAAATGTCACGACTAAAAAGGCCAGCAGCGAGGGGAATTCTGTAAAGGAATAGTGGGTCAAAATAGTTTAACAGAAAACGATTTGTGGATCTACTTACGCATCGGTTCCAGCCCGAATTAGTGTTCGGAAGAGCGCCCACACAGGCTTGTGATCCGAGGTGGTTATAGACGGCACCGAATCGTACAACAGGCACTGGACATATGGCTGCGTGGGCGTGGACACACCGGGCACAATAGTCTGTCGTCGGATGACTAAGCCCTGCATTTGGCGATATTTATAGAGAATCCGATCCGTATAAGCGGGCGCTCGCTGCTTCGAGGATGTGTCAAAGTTCTGGCTGTTGGGATCGTATTTATAAGTGGGTGGAAATGTGATGTTGGCCTCCATGAATCCTCGGAAGGCGGCGCCATCCGCCAGAACAGAAGTCAACTGATCCGTGTGCATGTAGCCGTGGGGCAAGTGCGACGGCAAAGGAAACTTTGTGTTCTGAATCCACTCCAGCAACTTTTCGCGGGGCTCGCCCAGCCGAAAGTTCAGGTCACCGCACCAAAATACGTTGTCAAAGTTCTGGGTGACATCTTTGTTCTTATGCCGCTGATTGGGCAAATTTCGGGGCAAGTCCAGGGCATTGATAATCCGCTTCACATCCGAAACGCGCTCTTTAACCTTCTGCTGATGCGCTGTTAAATGCGAGGTCACGAACAGCATGGAAGTGCCAAACAGGCAAAAGGATATGGCCACGGCTCCTTTGGTCCGAAAGGCCGATCCCGTGCGCACCGACATGGAGGCATCCTCGGGAACGGAGCAGTACCAGATCAGATCCCGCCGCATGTACACAGCCAGATGAAGAGTGCCTAGAGTCGTGGCGTGGAAAAGCACATGGGAAGGTCCCAGGGTCTCCTGTATGGTGACTTCCCAGTCAAACCGATCTGGGCTTGATTCTTGTGTGCCCATTACCACAATGTCTGGAACGTGCTCCACATTGGGCGGCAGCACAAAGTCGTTCAGTTGCCTGCAATTAAAAATAAATTAAAATGTAAACAAGTTCTGAACACAAAAATGTTTGAACCTGATATAAAAATTCAAACGTGCCATTTTTCGGTTAAGTGGATTGCATTAAGCAATTCGTCTTAATAATTATTTATTTTTAGCTTTTACTGATTTCACTTACTTGGGTGGACTGTGCCCGTTCATGTTCCATGTGCCTACGAAAATAGTGACCTCCTTTTGGGGCAACACGCGACTTAGCTCACTGGGTCCCAGCAGGGAAGACGATCCCAGTCTGCCATCCAGATAGCTTCGTTCCCTGGCTTTCTCCGCCGGGATGAGATTCAATGCATGTGCTGCCATTAGAGTTTGACGCGCCAGATTGGATCCCGATCCTTGTCGTTGGAGGGTCATATTCTCGTGAGACATAAACCGCACACCAGGCTCCTCCTGCATGTGGTCAACTCCATCTGGTTGGGTAGCAATATTGGGCGAGGACATATGTTGCGGCGTAGTGGCTCTTTTAATGTCTCCCGGCTCCTCGGCTGCCTGCAGAGGCGGCAACTCCTGACCGGGTGGATACAGCTTTAAGCGCAGTCGCGAACGACAGGCGGACACTGCCATGGGTCTAATGGGCGACCGATGCTGTAGGCTTTCGCTCCGCACCACCGAAGCGTTGGCTGCTGCCGGACTGCATTGGGCGAAGAAGGTTTTGCTGGCCACCGGCGATTCCGGGGCACTGGCGCACTCGCTGGACGGACGCGGTCGATGGGACGATCCCTCGCTGGAGTGCAGCGACACTGAGTTGTTGTCCACCATGCTCAAGCTGAGCGAGAGGTTATCGCGCCTCAGCACACTGTTGCTATCCGGTATGGAGTTGTAACGCACGGTGACCGGCGGCGTCATCGGTTTCTTTTCCGCCTTGCAGCACAGACTGAACTGGTGGCTAAATCTGTTGTGATTTGGTGAACGATGTTTGGGGGACTTGTGCCGCATTACCACATCGGCTCCTCCATCGCTCTGGGAACCCGCATCGGTGCTGTGGCGATGCGAGTGATTCTTTCCTTTCGAAGAACTCGGCTTGGCGCGCCTGTGGAAGCTGATCAGACCGCTGTGCGACTTTTCCAAAGGCAGGGTTTGGCTTTTGTGGGTGCTGCCATTGTTGTTCACGTGGTTTCCTGCGGTTTCCGCATTGCACTTGGCAAAGCTCACATCATACTGTCCGCAGGCGGACACAGGTCTCTGTTGGAGTCTCGGAGATTCGGGGGTCACGGGATGTGGCTCTACTTTACTGGGTCGTTTGCTCAGCAAACCGAACAAAGTGCCAGCGGATTTGTGCCCAGACCTTGGGCTGCTGGTGGAACTGGTAATCCGCTCCTCGCTTCCCGCGCTGCTGTGCTGCATGTTTGCTTTAGTCAAAACCGAAACCGAAACGAGTCTATCATCTAAGGTGCTAAGTGGTCATCATGCGCGCCTTTTGTCAAGTTAATTTGCGCTAATCTGACAGAGATCTCTCCGAAACAGCTCATTGTGCTATGGCCTCTGGCCGCTGGCCATATAAATAGTAAAGGCGGACGTCATCGAAACAATGCAAATGCGACTTTGGTCCGTTGATTTGGCTGGTCGCAATGCAAATTATTTTGGGCCCAACGATGACGTACACGAAATCAGGCTAATTGGGTTGACTGGCGGGGATTGCGTGTGCGGGCCTGCAAGATTTTAATGAAGGCAAACATTCAAGTGGGTTCAAAATACCAAGGGTATAATACACTTACTCACCTGCTGGCCAATAGGGTTTCCTTTTTGCGCGAGAGCTGAAAGGATTCAGAAAATCAATATGCTGGGTAATAAATGTGGCGACACCACCGCGAAATAAAAAAAGGGGAGGATTGTGGGCGAAATGGGGGGTGGTTGGGCGCGCGGAAAAGGAGAAGGGTGCTCTGCTGCCGACGACGTAACAACATTGGCATGCTGCGGCGCCCACACATCACTTCTATGAGCACTCAACATCTGACCACGAGCACAATACCACTCGTCTGTCTCGATTCTCTGGGATCGAGAGATTTATAATTAGCAGACCATTGTTGCCGCCAGCAGCCTTGTTGTTGTTTTGTTGGCCTACGTCTAGCATAAAAGCAGCAACAACGCAACGCGACTTTCAAGTTCAGGTTCAGGTACGCAAAGAATCCGTTTGTGCTGTATTCCCCATGTCGCGTACTGTGCCTTGTTTGTTTTTATGCAATTTAATTTATGTAATTTCCGCTGTATTACCGCTTCTGGATGTTGTTTACACAGAAAAGTAGGAACAAGTGCGGCCCGTGCCGTGGGAACTGCGATTTAGGGGTGGCCAAAGTGGATAGCGCAACTCCGATACATGACTCGCTGTATCGATTCTTCACGATATTTAAATAAGACGAAAATCGATACTATCGACTATACAAATGTATGTAGATTGTTAAATGCTTTTAGTCTTTATATTTAAAAACACACCATCAGGACAATATTAAGACCCCAGTGAAAATAAATTTTAATAATTCGTAATCATTCTCACTAAGGCAAAGTTGCACTTAAGGGGGCTTTGCTAAACATTGGTCAGAATAAAAAAATCTAAATTCAGTGATAAGAAAAGAAACTTACCAACTTTTAAATGACGCAAATGTATTTGCTCTTTAACTCTCTAATATTAATTAGGAATTATTTTAATTATATTTCTTGGTATTAACTGTTTGGCAATCGACCTCTTGCCGTACCTGGCCACATTACAGCGCAGTCGAAATCGACTTGGTATCGAAATTGGAACTCGCATCACTAGTATTTCGTTTCGGTTGGTACGCGGTTTAGTTTCACGGCTATACGGTTTTACGTTTCTACGGCATTGCGGGATTTCAACACCATGGCGGCCCAGACTATTTTGTTTGACTTTACGCTGGACAAGGACAAAACTTGCGATGAGGAGTCGCGCCTGCAGGTTGCGAAGATCCTGCGGAACGAGCTGGAGCAGGTGTTCCCCCAACTGGAGCTGGCCTACTTGATGGAGTCGCCGGAAAACGGATATTTCGCGGTCCTGCACCAGAACAAGGACACCGTGATTACCTGCAGGATCTTCCAGCACGGCCTGCTGACGCTCAACGTGGAGTACTTCCTGCCCGAGGGAAAGGAGCCGAGCATTACCTTCGACGTACGTAGGAAGTCCTGTGTAGATTCCTTGCAAAAATGCAACCAAACCCCCAAAAACACCACCCACATTTTGCATACCCCCGCCCTCCTGAAAACCACCCGCTTCCGTGTTGCGGATGATTAGATCGGGGAAAGGGTTTTCCACCCACCAAGTGAAATTGATTTTCCGCGCACTCACACTCAAGTATTGTTGGTTTGAGATGCATGTGGGTGTGTATGTATGACAAGGGTGGGGGGCGGGTGTGTTGTACTTGACCATTTTCCGTTCTCAAATCCCCGGCACTTGGTCAGGGTCAGGTCCGTCCGTCCTTGGCCTCAAGAGACCCCCAGCCGCCACTTTCCCTAGTTCTATTATCTAACACCTCTGTAACACACCGCATTATTAGCTGGGCTTGCTAGGTTAACTCGCGGCTCGGCTTTTTTTTTCTTTTGCACGTGGGTCCGATCCGAGATCTATTGATTGGTGTGCCTATGGGCATGGTTCTTATACAACGACTACAAACAAAATCCGCCTATAAATAAATGAAATAATTATCAGGGCGATATTTAAAGCCTATCCTTTTTTTTAGGGGAAAATAAGCATTGAGTTTTATATTTTAAGGGCCCCGCCTTTTTTAACTCAGATTTAACAGTAAAAGGAAGTAAAGTAAATTCACAATTTACTGAGATAGTTATTACTATTTTAAATAAAATTTAGGGTTTTGCACTTGCATACATACATAGGAAGAGAATAAAAAAAATAGTTTATTTATTAAAGTACTTCAGAAATACGACAAAATAAAAATAGGCCCATGTATGTATGCCATACACTTATAGCCAAACAATAGGGAATAAAATAATAGCATTAATCAAATAAAAAAAAAATAAAGACTATCTAGCTAAATACCGTTTTTCACTTTTCGTCAAGTTAAACATAATTTTTTAAGATAGAAATATACATACGAAAATATCCGAAATAATACGATTTAGGAACATAATTAAATCATTTAAATTACCAATGAGCTATTTTAATGAGCGCAGCTGTTCTTTAGCTTTGTATGTAAATGTGTGCGGAACTTTCCTTATCTAGCCGGCATCGTTCTCTGTGTTTTTTGTTTACGACAGTTTGCCGTTAGTTGGTGGATTTCGCAAACCGCGTGTTGTTAAGCCTTCTATTGTAATTTTTGCAATTTTGCAATATGCCTGCACACAAATATCGCCACATGCATATTTGCATGGCTCGCTATATATTCCCTTTTTCGTTCTGTTCACTTTCCTTTTTCATAAGTATCAAGTATTTCGACTAAAAATAGTTTTGTTGGGCCTGGCTGCCTGTGTCGCTTGGTGTGATGATGATGTGGTGGGCCGTTCGAAGAGTTTCCCGCTTGGCGGTTGAAGGTCACCTTCCATTATTTTAATTTAGTCATCGTGCCCTGCCAGTTGCCATATATGTACATACAAACATACATCCGTTGTTGTTCAAGGACCTAAATAAAGGAAATTACCATTGCAGACCATGCGCACAGTGGAATTGATTTTGCGCCAGAAATTTGATTCTGATCGGTCCAAGTACTTGCCTCCGATTAAGCGCGGTGGATATATCGACATATACATGACTAGCTCAGGTTGGTCGAACTTATTGCAAACTCACAATCAACCAACTCCAGTTTAGTTCCTGCTAGTTCCATTGCAATAATTATTTACTCCAAACTCACGTTACATAAACAACCTAAGATATATGCCGAAATTCTCTCTCAAAATTCCACTGCAGAATCTAGAACACCTATGCAGTTTTTCCACTAGTTTTTCCGATTGCTGCCACTGCAAAAATCAAAAAAATGTTAAAAATACTCATGAAAATCACCTGAATTGGACATCTGCCTGAGTCACCGAACCTCTGGCGCTGTAAATTCACCAAGTTGTCGTTCCCACCCAAGAATTCGAACCGCCTAGTAAGCTCTGCACATTTCCACACCCACGAAATCATGTTAGCATAGTGTTACTACCTCCTAGGGGGATTACTTCTCTAGGCAGATCCTGCATGCTAGTTTGTCGAATCTTTCAGACGGTCCTTGTATCTTCCTCCAGTGATGCCAATATTTTTATAACCTACTAAAATGGGTTAATATTAATTTTTTTTTTTTATATATTTTTTTTTAGATATTTTATCTTAATTTCCCTAATTATTTTCAATAGAAAAACTTTTAAACCAATTTTTTAAAAACTAGATAAACTTTCTTTATTTTTAAGAATCAACAATATTTGGTCATCTGAGTAAATATCATATCTTGGCAATACTATTTTAGATAGTGCTAAATATGGTAATTTTTTTGTATTTACCTGTAAAAACATCTCGTGGCATCACTGCTAATTACCTAAACCCACTTATTTAAAGTTATTTTTAATTTGAATTAATTTTTTATTTTCATATATACTCCATCGACACTCGACCGATCATCGATCATCATGATCAACCGCTGCCACATCTCCTGGACCAAATTTCACCAAAATTGCCTCGAATTGTGAATAAATGTGTAAACTATTGAACTATACTTACGCCCCAACGCACATGTGTCACCTGCCCCGCCTCGAAATCGTATTCGAAATCGATCTCGTACTCGCTCCTCGTCGTACGCTCGCTCATAAATTGGTTCCTGAATTCTGAAACAACAACAACAACAACACCGAAACAACAACAAATCACGCTCTAAAAAAAAAATATAAAAAATACAACTGCAGAGCGGTAAGAGCCTGGAGAATGTCCTGGCAATCAAACTGAAGGCCATTAAGGCCCAGAAGCTACCGACGCTCAAGCGCGGCGATGTCTCCAGGTATTTCCCGTCGTCAGGTAAGGCCAATCCCAATCCGTTTGGTTAACCATATTGCAAAATAGAGCAACTACTACTACTCGTACTACCGCTACTGTACTGTATGTCATCCGAAATGTGTGAACGTATGATCGTTGAGCGTATGCAGCACCATCGAGCTGATGTTATCAGAGTTCCTCTAGTGGCACCCAGCATGATAGATCATTTCAGCCATTTTCCGTTCAGTATTCAGTCTTCTGATTTTACCGCATCTCCTTCTTGGTTTTTCCGTAAGTGTAGGAGTGCATCCGTTCGTTTCTTTGCATGCGCTGCCTAACAATTGAGCCGAAATCAGTAATCTAGTAATCAATACAACATTTAATGTGTCCACTGAGGCATCACTAATCTATTGCACTTTTTCGCAGATGAGCGCATCATCGAGTACGACATCGACAAGGTGGTCTTCGAGGCTCGTTCGCCGTTCCAGAAGATCCAAATCATGCACTCGAAGACGCTGGGTAATATGTTGCTGTTGGACGAGCTGCAAAGTAAGTGCATACGAGTACATATTTTAAAACATTAGTTTTTACACATGGGAAGGCGAACGGTGTCATGGTCGCCCATCGATTGGCAGAGATGCCGCAGTAAAGGTCACGTGCAATTGCCTGAAAACAGGACACAAACATAAGAGTGCATTAACTTGATGAAGGACGACAACTAAGAGGAACTAATTGTCTATGTTTTGTCGTTGTTTTGAACTTATTATTTGGTTGATAATAGTACAAATATGTTACCATTGTACTGTTTCTTTTTAATTACTTGATGTATTACTTAATGGATATGATATTTTCAAGTCTACTGATTTAAAAACATAAATATTCAATATGACAGACAGTTGGTTTTGAGCCGAAGTTTATTATTCAATTTAAAAAAATTTAAGTAACTTAACTATATCAAACTCTTTTTAACTTATAAACTAATATTTAATCACATGTTTTCCTCCAACAGACATTGCTGAATCCGATTTGATCTACACGGAGACCCTCATGTGTCGCGGCGTGGAGAACTATGAGGGCAAGGAGATCTGCATCCTGGGCGGCGGTGATGGTGCCTTGTTGTACGAGCTGCTCAAGGAGAATCCCAAGCATGTGGTGATGCTGGAGATCGATGAGCTTGTGATGCAGACCTGCAACAAGTATTTAAACGTGATCTGTGGTGATGTTCTGGAGAAACGCAAGACCGATCAGTACGAGATTATTGTGGGCGACTGTGTGGAGTACTTGAAGAAGTTCATCGCCGAGGGCCGCAAGTTCGACTACGTGTTTGGGGATCTCACGGATATTCCCATAACCGATGCTCCGGAGGGCGAAACCTGGGACTTTATCCGCACCATCTTCGAGCACTCGTTCAAGGTGCTGAAGGCCGATGGAAAGTATTTGACCCATGGCAATGGATCCACCTGCAAGACGCAGCTGCGTTTGTTCGAGGAGCAATTGGAGCTGCTGCGTCCCAAGGTGAAGTTCACCACCACCAAGGCGTTTGTGCCGTCGTTCATGGAAGAGTGGCTCTTCTACCAGGTGACCTTCGCCTGACAAGCTCAGGGGGACTCCTCAGCAGCAGCAGCAGCAGTAGCTACTTGTAGCGCACCAACAAACGCCAGCCACACACCAGCATCACACAGTATAAGTCAGGAAGCACTAACCATCGGAGAGATGCTCCAGCTGCACTCCTACACAGTCACTCTCCATGGAGCAGCAGTCGGAGTTAAGGAGCAGGAAAAGGAGAAGGATAAGGAGAAGGAAAGCGTGGGAGGACAATTGAAACCGAGACCCAGGCGTCGAAAGAAGCGTGTGCACTACCACCACACACTGGTTTCTTAGTCCAGCAGCAAACGTGAAATCGAAAGCACAAGCTGAATGCCACCATCGAAGTCATCGCAACAAGACCCAAAAAAACAAAAAGGAAACACGCACTTCCAATGGCTGTTACTTACAATTGAAAACCAAACCAAATACTGAACCCAATTCGTTTACGCTTAAGTTAGGCTTTAGTTCCGTTTTCTCGTCCACTGATTTCAAAGCTAAAATTAAGTCAAAAGTACAACCTTTAAGCAAGGGCAGGCTAAATAAAATAACTTATGTATTCGTGTTTATTTGAATTACGCCTAAGCATAGCATGTTGGCCAACTATTTGTAATATTTCGTATAACGTGTAAATCTATATATGTAGAGCATATGTTTAGTTATCCATTAACGAGCAAATTGATGCGGGGAATCCCCCCGCCCGATCGAGAAATGTGTGCATGAGGGTGTGAGGAAGCGTAGCAGAGAACACCAACTTTTATTGCTGTAATAACGATTAATACCAAACATTTTAAACGAGAAGAATTACAAAGTAAATAAATAGTCGTATGCAGATATAATTACACATTGTTTTTTTTTATCCATGGTCAAATATAATAAATTCCTTAGGAATGCAAATGATTTACAGACCACAAATGGAACTTGATGTTAATTTTATAAATCTAATTAAAGCGCCAACACAGCCGCAAGACTTTAATTTCATTGAACATTATCATTGAAATACCCGCAAGAACCCACAAACTTTTAACTTTATTTTTGCATAAATTTGTTTTCTTGCATATTTCTACATTTTATTCCTTCACTCTATAGAGAACCACCCTACCCTAAAACCCTTAAGTGTTGTAAAACCACGAAATACAGAAGATACTAATTATGACCCCCCGACGAGCAGTTGGACGTTAGTTTCACTTGTTACGTTGGTTTTAATTTTCACCTGGAACGAACCGGTCACCATGGAGCGAAAACTGCACAGTGGAATGCACCATGCCACCCTGCGTCTTCTGCAGGAATCCGGATGCGAGATAGCGCCGCACAATCTGATGTATCCGGTGTTTATCGTGAGCAACGATGACGATGTCCAGCCGATTGCCAGCATGCCGGGAATCTCGAGATTCGGATTGAATCGCCTGAGGGAGCACCTGCAGCCATTGGTGGCCAAGGGACTGTCCTCGGTGCTGCTGTTCGGCGTGGTGGAGCCGGAACTGAAGGACGAACAGGCCTCGAATGCGGACTCCGCCAAGAATCCGGTGGTTAGGGCTCTCCCGAAACTTCGGGAATGGTTCCCCGATCTCCTGATCGCCTGCGATGTGTGCATCTGTCCGTACTCCTCGCACGGTCACTGCGGTCTCCTAGGTGAAACGGGCCTGGAGAACGGCCCCAGCATCAAGCGGATAGCCGAGATTGCTGCCGCTTATGCCAAGGCTGGTGCCCACATAGTGGCTCCATCGGACATGATGGACAACCGGGTGAAGGCCATCAAGCAGGCCCTGATCGATGCGAAAATGAATAGTGTATCCCTGCTGGCCTACTCGGCCAAGTTCACCTCCAATTTCTACGGACCCTTCCGGGAAGCAGCTCAATCCGCACCGAAATTTGGAGACCGTAGGTGCTATCAACTGCCCAGTGGTTCCCGCAGCTTGGCCATGAGAGCTATTCAAAGGGACGTTGCCGAGGGAGCCGACATGCTGATGGTGAAGCCGGGCATGCCTTATTTGGATATCCTGCGATCCACCAAGGATTCCTATCCATATCACACGCTGTACGTTTACCAGGTGTCCGGGGAGTATGCTATGCTGTATCACGCTGCCAAGGCGGGTGCCTTTGACCTCCAGGAGGCCGTGCTGGAGGCCATGAAGGGTTTCCGACGAGCTGGGGCCGATTGCATCATCACCTACTACACGCCCTTCCTGCTCGACATTATCGGCAGGGGGAAATAATTGTCTACCTCAAATGCTTAACCTTCCATGTCTAAAAACCATATTCATGCAGATTAGAGTGGACTTCCTAAAGCTATAATTAAGCAGTCATAACTTTCTCAAATACAAATAATAGTGCAATATTTCAAGTTGTAATAACAATAATTTTATATATATTTTTAAAAGCAGGTCATGAACACAATGGTAATTAAGTAAACTTTTGTATAGGAAACCAGTAATTTAGTTGGATTTAGGGACCACAACGTTTAATTAAGAGATGAAGCTGATGAACAAAGACTTAAAGGCTATTACTTACACATTTATTAGCTCCCATTTGATAAGCTGCAAAGGTCCACTCTAATCTTCATCACCATTAAAAGTGCTTTCTGTTAGAGTGGCTCGCTCCATTCGCGCAAATACACACACAAACTAGAATGTATATTTTAATGGTCTTATCAATCGCATGGATTTGGAATTCAAATGGGTCGGGGTACACTCCGAATTTCAATTGCATGGCGAAATTCGAGCTGTCCAACCGGTCGATCCACTGACAAACCGATTAAAAGTGCTAAGCAAAAGCTGTTCGTTTTGTGATGGCAATTAACACTTTAATAATGTGGACTCTTCGATTGCATTTACAAATGGGCTACGGTGAGCACTGAACACTGCCTGGAGCTTACTTGCTAAATTGGTACGAGTTCAAGTCTTACGAAAGGATAAAAATCACAAAATCAAAAATTAAGTACATAAAACAATAAAGTAGATTCTTGTTTCTGTTTAAAATTTGGCGGAAAGGGAGTTTCGAATGAAAGCTATTGTTAAAATCCTTTATAAACAATGAAATCTTGGAAATGTATACCTAAATAGGTACAATAGGTATTCGATTTCTTTGTTAATGTAAACTAAATGAGCATATACATATGGGAAGCGAAATGGATCTCTATAAACATTCTTTAGCTCCAGTTCCGCCAAAACTAGTTAAAAATTGAAAATAAAACATGATCAAATGTCTTCTGATAAATCAAAACTAACTAAGAGTAAAAAGTAAACTAAAAACGAGTTAAGGAAACTATAGCTACAGGAAAATACTGAGTGCATTAAGGATAAGTAGATTGGAATATGGTGCACTGCCTCGTTTAGGGGCTCTCGCTGCTGTGGATGCGGCTGTGCTCCAGGATATCCGTGTTCTGCATCGGCTCCAGATCCGTTTCCGAGATAATCTCCGCCAGCCACTGCTCGATCTGTACGGGATGGAAGGCATCCTCGTCGCCGCTGTTCGCCTCCAGGATGATCTTGAGGTTCTCAAAGTTCTTGAGGATTAGTCGCTTGCCCGGCTGCACTTGTGGTCCCGATTCGCTTTGTGTGACCGATGTGGTGGTGGACACTGGTTCCTGCTTGGTAGCCGACTGCCTGGGATTGGAATTGGCATCGCAGCTGGAGTCGGCAGCTGCAGCTTGAACCGGCTCTGCTGCTTGGTGGTAAGTCCTGCGCGGCTTCTCCACCATGCTCTTCTTGATCTCGTTGAGCAGGCGATTGTAGAAATCGCAGGTGACATCGTGAATCTCCGTTTCCTCGTACCGATGGGCTTGCCCTGGTGTGGGCGTGGAATCGGAGCTGGGTTCTTGGTTAATCCTCTCCTGCTTTTTGGCTGCCTTTTGCTTTTTCGACTGCGAACGGGAGCTGGCATTGCTGGAGTAATTCGAACTGGAGGCGGTGGTTGTGGGCGTGGAATTCGAGGGCTCGGTGGTGCTGGAATCAGCGGATTTGGCCAGCGGAATCTCAGCACTGACCGCCTCTTCACTGGCGCAATTGATGGTCAAGCTGGCTATGTTGCGGAGGTTAATAGTCCCATTGCAATTGTTGATGGTGATCTTTGGCTTGAAGCGCTGCTTGCGACTCTTGTTTTTCGGTGGTTCTTGAAGACTATTCTTTGATTTTGCCGAGGTTTCGCGACCCAAACTGGATACAGCTTCCGCTATCGAAGATTCCAGCTCGTCGTCCAGTTCCTCCAGATTCAAGGGTGGCACATAGGTTTCCCTCTTGATTTTGGCCTTCTTTATCAGATCCTTGGCCTCCTGTAGAGTGATGTTAATGATGGAACGCTTGGCATTATCTTCGACGAGGGATCTGTTGCGGGAAAAGTCCACGACAATGGCCTCTGGTTCGACACCATCTTCGTCCAGATCAACATACGAGACATTCCCGCCCTGCAGGCACTTATACATGGTCTCGTGGTCATCGAGAGGCTCTATGTAGTCCTCGTTCCTCAGGCCCGTGGTGCGGTAGTCCTGCAGAGCCAGCTGCAAGTCACTGTTATCCAGCAGGAAGTGACCGTAGCTCCGGATGGCGGTCAGCAGCTTCTCCTCCGCATCGTCGCCTTCGCCAGGAACAAATTGCACTCCAGTTTGTTCTTTTTTGGAATCTCTGTTCTCAACATCGGGGGAGGACTTTTTAAGCAACTGCTGCTGCTGTCTAGTATTCGCTATGACTTCCAGTTGCCGGAGGAGCAGCTTTTCGCGCATATGCAGTGCAGAACGGATTTCATTGAACTTCTTTTGTACGGTGCCTTTGACCTGCAAGAAAAACAAGGCGTGTGTCATAGGAGGCGAAGGAAAATCCAAACGTTTGTGTTTCATGGAGAAAATCGTTTCTCAAGATGTACACCTACCTCATCCAGATTTTTGTCCATTGCGTGCGAGCTAATAAATACTTTCTCTTTCTAAATGTAGAGCATTTTTTCTTCAAATTCTGTGTATCAATCTTTTTGTTTGATCGATCAGCTGGAGTTACAGTATGCCCACCGTTCTTAAGAGTGTAAAAATCAAAACGGATATAAAAGAGAAAAACTTGAAGTGGTCTCACTAATTTTTGGGCGGGAAAGTTTTTGGCACTTGAATATAAGTAACAGAGGGGTCTAACAAGCCAAAAATTATTTGTTTACAGAAAAGGTCTAGGCCTAAACAGCCAGACAAATGGTGTCTTTTAATCTTTATGGAAAGACATTTAGACCTCAATCAAATCTTTGAAATCCTTTAAAAAGAACGCATTTTTAAAATAGCTAAAAGAACACCAGAAACTTGTAATTACAATAATATCGCTTTGGAAAGTTTAAGTTTTGGCGGCTCTTTCAGCGCTGCCCCTAGCGGAGCTCCCCACCCAAGAGCGTTGCCACACATTTGGGAGCAGATTTAAGTGAGCCGGGATCGTATATTGTTTAATTCGATTTTTTAAGTTTTCGTAAAATATTGGAATTATTGCCTTTTTTTTCCAGAAATGCCACAGCATGAGAAAAACGCATTTAACGAAATAGGCACAACAATTTAGTGTCATATAGCTATATGCGGCTTAGAAAGAGTGTGACCATATGAGTATCGCAAAACAACGTCTTACTTTTTCACTTTACTAGGCCTTTGGTGATAGTATTTCCGCCCCAAAACAGTTCGGTCCCTCAATCCGTTTGTTTTCGTTTCAACTTTGCGTTGGGGGTTCATTTCATTTTTTGGTCCGGAGGCGCGCATTTCAATTAAATTCGTGAGAGCGTGATTGCGCACGCTGCTTCGTTAACCGTTCAAAAATATAAAGACGAAAAAACATTGGTAAATATTTGTGGTTTACAAGACCTCAAAATATAAAGAAATGTGACAAGAGAAAAATCGGGCAGTTCGATAAATCGCCGGGAAATATATCACACTGTTTTGATATTTAAATTGTTTTAAAAACAACTATTTATATAAACGTTTTATACAATATAATTCTGTGGCTAAAGTAAGCATTAAAAAGGATTCTTATTCAACAAAAGACTAAAAGTGAGATCAAACCCAAAAACAAAACAAATCGAAAATCGCCGCTTCCACGTACTCAGCTGTCTTTGTCTTTAGTCATGCCATCTCTGTTCCACGCGTCGCGGCGCCTTCAAGTGTTTGGTTTTGTAATTGCCTTTGCTTGGCGAAACTGTGCTGATTTAAATGTTTCTTAAATGTTTGTTCTTTAAACTGCATTCGAAACACAACAATTGTCGCGTGGCTTTTGCAGGGAAAAGAAAAGAAAACCCCAGTGTTTAAATAACAATAGTCATCGCTTATTGTGGTTGCCTCAACTAATTTGAGTTGTGCTAGTGTATGTGTGTGAAGGCGCGTTGGCGCTTGTATTTGCCTGTTGTTGTTTTTGCCTCGACAGACAATAAAAAAACGAAAGAAATTCAGAGAATTTTGAGTTTGTTTCTCATTTGTACAAGAGAGAGAGAGACACGGAAAAAGAAGCAACAAACAACACAGAAATAAAAAAAAATGGGGAAACACACATGCAAAGCAACAAAAGAAAAGGCAAATAAAAGAGAGCGAGAGAGCGCGAATTGTGTCAGTGACGCCAAAAAATGTAAAAATATCAATAATGCCTATTAAAGTTTTATTTTCGTATTGCCGACGGTTCTAAAAGAATTTGTGCAACTTTGTTTAATTGGTTTTAACTTCTTCGATTGTGTTTCATTGCCTTTCCTGTTTTGCCTTTGCGGTTGCGAGACTGTCTTTGCGAATTGACTTTGCGTCGGCGGGTCGTGACTGGATTTTATTTTATTTTACAAACAGATGATGCATGCGTCTGTATGTTTGTACGTTTATATTCACATGTGCTTGGTTTGATTTCTTTAAAAATGCGATATAGGAATACAGTTATGCGGTGCTTTTCGCTTTCTGGACTAGCTTTTTGTTTTTGCTTCTAGCTTTCCGGTTTTTCTCTTTTTTCTCCTCTTTTTTTTTTTGGTTCCATCTTGTTATCATCGAAAAACCTGTTTTGTTTTGTTATTTTTTTTTTTTGCCTCGGCTCAGGCTTTTAAATTCGGAATTACCTCATTTTACACCTTTAGCTCAGTGCTTTTTATTTAGTCGCTGCGACTAACCCATTAAATCAAATCATTTTTATTCCACCCGAATTTTGTAGGTCGTTGAAAAGTTATTACACTTTCGGGGAGTTCACTTGTTTAGGTTGTTACCCCAAAAAGACATTAAATTCGGAATTCATTTCGAGAAGAATTGTTCGTAAATATTTATCGAAAAGAGAGAATGATAAAGCAAATATCCACTTAACATATTCACCCTAAAAACAAACAACTAAAATATGTGAAAACAAAAGGAATTTACAGTTCTACTACGTTTTACGTGTGCAGTTAATTTATGATATCTATGTATCTACTATACTATTAAAAAAGAATAAAAAAAAAAAACCAATTAACAACCTTTGGTTTTTTTGTTACATTTACCCATAATCAGGAAAATGCAAAATTTTTGAGCTGCTGCCCTTATAACACAAGTTTTCTAAACTCTATATTGAAAGAATTAAATCAGCACAGTTTGAATTTTATTTGGCCATCTAACACAGCTATAAAATAAACACATCAAACAAGTAAAATATAATATGCTCTTTTATGAACTACGTGTGTAAACCAATCGTTCTTTTAACCGAAAACCTGTAAAGAATATATAAAACTATATTTTCCGTGAAAATTAACGCGTGTAATCGAAAAACGTACGAGTATTTAATCATCATCGAAGGCGAATGTCGAAAAGTGTTCCGAGGTCAATGTTTCTGTTTCTGCTGCTGGCAACTCATCGTTTAAATTAAATACACAATCTGCAGCGAGGTGAGTTTAATTCGGCTATATTTGCTATTGTCGTGTAATATAACATTCCCCTGACCCTGGCCCCACTTTTGGAGTATTTCGAAATACCGCCCACTTGTATTTGCTCCATTGAGAGTTGCTCGTAGACGAGTTAGTAACTCCCCGTCTCTGTCTGCGAATCGTGTGAACTTATTTACTTGCGATATTGCCGATAATGTGCGATGAGTAAGTTCAATACAAGTAGGCTATGCACATACAAAAGTAACTTCAATAGAGCTGCTAAACATTATACAGATAGCAGTATTATCTTTGCAAATATATTATACAAACAGCGGAGCTATTTGATTGATATTATCTTTTGGGAACATTTTTAAAAATCATATAAGTAATTCAAATGGTTCCAGTCATTTAATTAGTTTATTTCTTTAGTTCTTTTCGTAATAAATACTCTGAAATCTGATTTAGAATACATATTGCTACTTATCTCCTCCGATATTTCGCCATGTTGTTGAGCAAATTAAATTTATGTTTCTCCTTATCGAAAAAAGATTAAACTTTGAGAGTGTAGAATAAAAACTTATCTAACTTTTTTTATAACTGAACTTGAAAAGAGAATGTACTCATAGCGCTTTTAATAAACATTATGTTGACAACTTTAATCCTCTTAACACTTAAGTCAACAAATAGTGCGTTTATTTATTCCATTCAGCAATAATAAGCTCAACAATCATTATTATACTCTTTTATTGTCAGAGTTCTGCAATAAAAATAGATAATTTAAATGGAATTACGTTAATTTTGCATCTTTGTCACTGGCAGATAATTAATGCACTTAACACGACGTGGGAGAGTGAAGAGGTATTTCTTTTGTTCCTCGATTTTAATAAGTTAATTTTGCCACACGTAATAGAGTTTCCATCGATGATGCCTGGTCGAGAAATGGCAACTGCTGAGTTAAATTGAGTGGCAATTATTAAATTTACTGTAATTGCAAATTACAATGCAATTAATCAAAGCCTCGAATCGATTGAAATCGAAACCGCTTTAACAACTGGAAATGCGATTGCCTGTCTGTCGATCTATTTGTCTGCAAAAAGACTTTCCCGTCGGAGGAGCATCAATCCAAAACCGAACCGAATCAAACCGCATTCAACAATTGCTGAGTTCTCCTCCGTAACGTTGGATATAAATTCATTACTCAGCTTTAATTAGTTTCAATTTTCGCACGCCATCGAGATATCGACGGGGTCAGAGTGGTAAAATGTTCGAGCAATTGTTTGCCGTTTCAGTTTCCTATATTTTTCGCAAAATTATATTTCAGTTTGTGCAATCAAATTGCAGCATGAACAATGTGCAATATTTTGATTCACACAATTTTAGCAAAAATAAATTAGAAATATGCCTGGTCGGTTTAATTGTAAATAGACACTGAACACAAGTAAAACAAAACTAAAAACTTCCGTATTTATATGCATTTAATTGAAAGCCAGTTGTTGTGTGTGGTGCACAGAAATATTTTGCAATAACTTTCGGTCATTGTGCACTCTGATATTTAATCCGTACTGCAAAGTGGCTTTCGAAATGTTTGCAAATTGCAGACTTTTGACTTGTGAATTTTTATTAAAGCCCGACCCCTTGACACTCCAATTTTTTCCCCGGCAGAGTTCAAAATTTGCATAACAAAGCCGCTTAGCTGTTGAGTGCTGGCGGCATATTTTTGTATTCATGATTGATGGCTCTGTGCGTACTATATATATATGTATACAGATACGGGTTTATAGGGCACTTCGATCTGGGAATGGCCACAAGTGCTGTACTTTTATCTCTCCTGCAATTAAACTTAATCACTTGTTCACAATTAGCATGGGCTGCTGCGATAATATCGTGTTCGTGTGTTTATGGCCATTAGGCGGACATAAAAATCCTGTTTACCCCCACGGAACGCAATCCATTTCAATGCTGGCTGCCCGCAAGCACCAGAACATAAAAATCAAATCAAATTACATTACTAATGCGCCGCGTTGTCCGCGACTAGGTCACATTCACGCTAACACACACACATAGGCATTTGCATTTATTTTCGCCAATTTATGCTAGGGGCTGAAACCCCCAAATAAAAGAAAAGAACCCACGAGTCACACAATTCTCGATTCGGACCCGGCCTAAACTGATTTTATTTTGGTTTTTTTTTTTTTTTTTGGTTTTCTGTTGGCTTTCTAGCTTTACCTTCGCGTGCGTACGTCCCCCAAGCAAGCTGGTGACTCATGAAAATGTTTGCCGCGGAAAAGGACATCCGAGGACGACGGCTGTCCCGGTCGTTTTGGTGTTTTTTTTATGGCTTGAATCATGCATTTTTTTTACCATTCTTGACTTTTTATTGGCTGCCTTTTTTCGATGTGAATGCGTTTAGCTTGGCGTGGATTTGTTTTTATTAGCGGGTCTCGGGCGGGCGTTTTGTAAACAGCTTTAGCACAGACCATAATGCCATATTCAAACGACTTTACTACACCAATGGGGCACTTTGTTGCCACGCATATTGCAAGAAAGACTCAAGTTATCTTGCTTTTAGTGTAATTGTTTAAGATGCGTTGTGGTAATATCACATCTTATTTTTTCAATCAGGTGGTCATATTTTTTATCCCTTTACGACTGTATCACACATTATAAAGTTTACGAGCGCAACTTTATTTTAGCCCCAGTTTAATTTTTAATAATTTTTTTTAAAGCTTTTAAATTCAACAGCCTTCAAACTTAAATGTTTCAATTTTTTTTGTTAAAATGCACTTTAGGGTTCAACTTGAGTATGATGGATTGGCTGTCGACTTGTTTAAATTGCTATAGCGATTTATTCATTTGTCCCAGTTTTGTTTTTAAAACGTTCGGACATTTCAATGATGGATGAGATACTGCCTTATGTATTCAAACCGTTTCTTGCTATTTCGGTTGGAGGAGATTGGCGAATTTAATTTGTTTCTAATTCATCTGCGACCATCATTCGTAATCCCTATTAGGCTTCACAATATGTGACCTAAAAAAGCCCGAATCGACTGGCTACTCGATTGATGCTTGCCAATTTATCGAAAGCCCGCTGCTGCAAAAAAAAATTCGGGAAAGTGCATTTTTTTGTGCAGCCAATACTAATGCGCCATGATTTATTAAAAAATCGGCCACTCCACCGCACACATGACCGAATGCCCGAGCGGACTGATTGGGATGGGGGGATGGGATGGACAGTGGCCACGAGAACCCACTCTCGATGGCAGGAGCACTCGACTATTCATCTAGAGCAGACGGTCCGACAAGTAATCTCCTTAAAATGCAATTTGTTTTGTTGCAATCAACGATTTTTGATGATGACGACGAGGACTACTGGACTGGTGGACTGGTGGTCGGTCAGGAGCCAAAAGGAGAGGCCAAAGGAGCTGGGAGCAGGAGGAGCTGGCGGGTCAGGAGGAGCAGCTGGAGAGGCGATGACGATGATGATGGTGATCGAATGCGAACGTTGGGTAACAATTTGCAGCGTGGCCAAATAAATTGGTTGTTATTCAGCCCCGAACTCCGCTCTTTCGACCACCGACCTTTCGCCTCTTCAGGCCCCTCTAAAAAATGATGGAGATGAAAACAAAATTCCTAGGATGCTTCTAGTTTTTTACTAGAGCCCCACACTTGGCCCAAAACGCTTGGCTGCCATTCTGATGCATGGCCCTGGCAATGCGGTCCGAGCGTTGCGACAGCCCCCCAAAAACTACCCCACTGACGGATGGATGGATGGATGGTTGGATAGTTAGATGGTTGGCTAGTTGGAGTACCTGAATGACCGGCCAATGAAATGAATGAATCACAAGCTGGCGAGTCCCTCACCCCTTTCCCAAAAAATGCAATGCACACACACGAGGGCTTTAAGAATACCAAAGCGTGCAGTCTGCTTCGAGTTCTCGTTTGCCAAGCACATTGGTATAGAAGCTTATTTGGCATGAGTGCTCATTAATTTTGAACCTTAACACGTCATAGAAACGGCGATTATAAAGTATATATGCTTTTTTAGGGGCCTATTAGTGCAGGTTTTCAATTGATAACATTGGCTGGAAACACGTGATCTAAAATCATTAAGAAAAACAGAGGTTTTGTGTTATTTAGTGGGTAATTTTAATATTATTTAAATATTGGTAATGAAGATTAACACGTTATTTAATCATAATATTACTCATACTATGTTTCGTAAATAAATTTTTTTTTTTAATTTTGTTGAGCTATGTCATTTTAATCAAAAACCAAATATATTGTTTTTTTTCCATTCTGATTAGCAATTTTCTAAAAAAAATGTGAAAAATAATAATTTATACAATGTTATTTAAATGAGAGCTTGCAAACTCAGAATCACGAATTTCACAATCATTCAGAATAATCCAGTACGAATCGGAACAATGTCAAATGTGATTTTATGATTAAAAGATAAGGGAATGACTTTTACTGACGTTCCCATAGATTGTGTTTATCAAATTAATTAAGATAGCAGTGGAATCAAGGTAGAGAAAATCTTTGAAGTATCTATAGACCGAATAAGTGAAATGTTTACAGAGGCAAACGGCACTTGCATACCTTTGTTTGTCACTCATTCGGGCAGCGTTGCACCAGAGTTACGAACTACGAGGGTCACTCCACCAGTTGTGTTGGCCGAAAGCTTTGCCTTCCCATTCTACGGCCCTCGTTGCATAGTTTATTGCGTGTTTTCCAGTAACAGATTTGTTTGCGTTCCCTTTGTTTGTTTGCTCAATCCCCGTATTCTCTCTGCATTTTTTCCGGCGCTCCCCTGTCCGCCGTGAACTATTTTATTTGCCTGCACGTATCAGAAGCGTGTTTCAATTTGCACAAAAATTCACATGTCGATTGCTGCTCCATCCATCCGTCTATCTGAGATTGATTTCTAGCGCCGGGTATTTGTCTGTTCTGACTCCTCGGTCTATCATTCTCCTCTATCTACCTATCTATCTATCCATCGGTGTGCCTCACTGTCTTTCCAT